CTATGCCATATTAAAGCACTGTTTAGACCACATGCCAGTTATTTAATTTCAAACTGTTTTTTGCTTTTTGGAAAGTCTTAGACAACAGGAAGTAGATCAGTTTTTGCTTAAATATTCTGAATAGTGCAGTACAGTAAGTACAGTACAGAGCTGTGAAATACAGTGATGTGCAGTACGGTTGTGCACGTACAGTGCATTACGGTTGAGCACAGTACAGTGCAGTGCAGTGGTGTACAGTGATGTACAGTACAGTAAAGTAAGTTCGTTACAGTACAGTATAAATAGTACATTACAGTATATACACAACTAAATAAAGTCCAGTATGCAGAACATAGTGTGTCACGACTCACCTGTATTCATCTATGACTGCTTGTACATGAAAAGGATCACATACTTGGTGTTTCTGACGAGCAATCACATCCTCGTCATCTAAAGATGTACAATTGGACAATTGTGCGTACATAACATTGTGCACTACATGGGCTGGTATGTGGATGTATGAATTAATAATCTCTGTATGTCCGATCATAACTCATGAACCCATTGACCGTTTTGCCTTAAATTTTGATTGGGAACGGAAAATTGATAATATCGCGAAAAATGTCATTGACATTACTCAGTAAAGTAACATTTTTTTCTATTTGCGGAGTTCTGCTGCAGAGAAAATGGAGGGAATAGTCAGAATGAAACACTTTTTAAGGCAGAAAATAACGATAGCTTCCTTATTGATACTTAGATAGAGGTTTAAAGGATATTGTTGTGAACATGCTACTAGTAAAATGGATGAACACTTGTTATTAAAGTCTACAACTCTTATAAAGTCTCTTTAAGCAGAAAAAAAGGTTAAGTGAAAATATTGGAAAAAAATACAATATTATAATTTTCTTTCTTTAATATGGATATTTTTGGGTTGAGTTATATTATATAATCTTTATTCAACCTCAAAGTAAATCATAAAGGAATTAAATCTTTGGCAAAATTCATATTTTATAATCCCTATATTTTTGCACCCCGGTGACGTAAACCTTTGATATTTCAAACTTAGAGTATTTGATCTAACAGAACTCAAAGTTTGAAGTGTCTAATGTCTGACATTTGGTTGCAAAAATATATGGATTTAACCTGATATATTTGGTAGGTTAAGTTGACCGGCCAAAAAACCCAGCCTGTTCAGCCCCATCATAGCAGAGATCTGAAGTAACCTAAACCAAACCAAGTTCAGAAACTAAAATGAGTTTTGAAAAAATTAAATAGGATTTAAAAACGAAAATTCACGTTTTCCATTAAAATTTCAAATATTTGGCTTTTCTGTTTGTCCGTCTGTCTGTCTGTATCCACTAAACGTCATAACGGCTAATTCGGACACACATTTTGATGGTAACTCAAACTGCCCCAGGGAAGGCTGAATTATTAGAAAATCCACCAATAAACAGAAATTATAAGCGAACNAGGTATATACAAGTATGCATATTACATACTAAATAGTGATGAAGAACATGTTTGGGAAGAGAGAGATTCAAAAAAGGTTTCTCTTTTTAAAGAACAGGGGGTCCCACTAAGCATGACGACTTAAAGATCGTGTTTGATCTTTAAATGTAATCTAATGACAAAATATTAATAAAAGCTTTTATTTACTGGAAAATCATCGAACCTTTAATGATGCCTTTCTCGATTTCCAAGATCAAAGACGATCATTAGTTCGTGTCTCCATTATATCAAAGACGATCATTAGTTCGTGTCTCCATTATCATGTTTAATAAAACACACTGTAACCCCCCCCCCTCGCCTGTTTTACCTGTAGGAAAGTATGAGATGATTAAACCAGTAATTTAACCAGGGAGACTCATCGCCATCTTGTTTTCTGAACAGTTGATTCTTAGTGTACAGTGGGAACAGTTGATTCTTAAAGTATACATTAGGCACAGTGGACACAGTGGGTTCTTTAAGTGTAAAGAAGGCACAGTGGGAACAGTTGATTCTTAAAGTATACATTAGGCACAGTGGACACAATAGGCGGCACAGTGGATTCTTTAAGTGTACAGATGGCACAATGGCCTGGGTACAGTTGGTTCTTATAGTTTGCAGTTGGTACAGTCGGCAAAGTTTATTTACATTTAACAGTAGGCATAGTTGATTTTTACAGTGTACAAATGGCACAGTTTATTTTTACAATGGACAGATGGCACAGTGGCCTGGGTAAAGTTGGTTCTGTTAGTGTGCAATAGGCCCAGTTGATTTTTACAGTGTACAGATGACACAGTTTCCTGGTTACAGTTGGTTCTTATAGTGTGCAGTAGGCACAGTCGGCACAGTTGATTCTTACGGTGTACAGTAGGCACAGTTGATTCTTAAAGTGTAAAAAAGGCACAGTTGGAACAGTTGATTTTTAAAGTATACAGTAGGCACAGTGGGCACAGTGGATTCTTTAAGTGTAAAGAAGGCACAGTGGGAACAGTTGATTCTTAAAGTATACAGTAGGCACAGTGGGCACAATAGGCGGCACAGTGGATTCTTTAAGTATAAAGAAGGCACAGTGGAAACATTTGATTCTTAAAGTATACAGTAGGCATAGTAGGCATAGTTGATTCTTAAAGTGTAAAGAAGGCACAGTGGGATCAGTTGATTCTTAAAGTATACGTAGGCACAGGCACAGAGGGCACAGTGGATTCTTNGCACAGTGGGCACAGTGGATTCTTACTAGCATCCAATTTGTATCAATTTTAGTCCAAATCGAGATTTTCCCCGTATTTATTTTTTACCCTGTATTTGTAGCTGGAATGTGAAGTAAAGATGAGTGAAGAGGGTTTATCAGAATTAATCCTGCAACATCCTACAATAATCAAGTGAAGAGGGTTTATCAGAATTAATCCTACAACATCCTAAAATAATCAAGTGAAGAGGGTTCACCAGAATTAATCCTTCAACATTCTACAATAATAATATAATAAAGAGGGTTTATCAGAATTAATCCTGCAACATCCTACAATAATAATATAATTAAGAGGGTTTATCAGAATTAATCCTGCAACATCCTACAATAATAATATAATAAAGAGGGTTTATCAGAAATAATCCTGCAACATCCTACAGTAATAATAATAATGAAGAGGGTTTATTAGAATTAATCCTGCAACATCCTACAATAATCAAGTGAAGAGGGTTTATCAGAATTAATCCTACAACATCCTACAATAATCAAGTGAAGAGGGTTTATCAGAACTAATCCTGCAATATCCTACAATAATCAATTGAAGAGGGTTTATCAGAATTAATCCTGCAGCATCCTACAATAATCAAGTGAAGAGGGTTTATCAGAATTAATCCTACAACATCCTACAATAATCAAGTGAAGCGGGTTTATCAGAATTAATCCTGCAACATCCTACAATAATCAAGTGAAGAGGGTTTATCAGAACTAATCCTGCAATATCCTACAATAATCAAAGGGTTGTCAAAACTGCACTGTAAACTAGACGGAAGACGGAAGGTAAACATTATGTAAAAATACTGGCACGACTTTGCGGCCTCGTATCTCCTCTTTGAGTAAATATAAAAGTATAATAAAAGCAAAGTTACCCGGTCACATATTAGAAATTCAAAACATTTTGTTCTTCTCAATAGCTCGTCAATATAAAAAGTTGAAAACATAAAAATCAGCAAAATATATGGGTTTTCAGAATCTACAAAAATTTTTGGATCCCTAATTCTGGATCATCAACCAAATATATATTTATCTATCTACTCACATAAAAATTGGCTTGTCACTATGTTTAAATCCAATAAGTACCCGGAACGGTTTGTGGGCGGTCAAATTTGAGAAAATAGCTTTCGAATTTTTTTTTTCGAACCCACCATTGAAAACAGAGGAATATGTTATTTCTAAACTCATGAGTCATAAAACGTTTAATGATAAAATGGCTAAGAAAAAAAATCCTTAATTATCTTTTAATTGCTATGTTTAGTTAGTAGGACACCCTGTGGCCTGTATGTGTACAGTTTAGAGTGTACAATCATGTACAAGTAAATAATGTACAGTACAACCTGTGGATGTAAGTGTGAATATGTTTGTACAACGGCACCTCCTAATTCTGCCCCAACAAGAAGAAAAGGTCTCTATAAAATTAAAATAATTTTGCAAAATTTCGAAATTTTTTGATTCAATTTTGAGAAAAGTTTAATCCAACATTTTTACTCTCATAGGTTTATATTTATTCCGAGGCAAATCATTGACTTTTTCTCCCAACCAACCCGGTTGTATTTTCGAGGATTTTATGGATTTTTATAAATATATGAATGGTGAAGTTGAATACAACAGGATTTACAAAGGATCTAAACTTCCATTTAATTTATAATTCATAAAATTAAAACATTTAAAGCTGGGAACTCTTGTATTGTGGATATCGATATTAATGCTTGATCTTAATCTTTTGTAAATCTGCAGATTAATTTAATCTTTATTCGAAATCCGAAATGGAAATTGAAATCGCACCCTAGAGGAAGAACTGAAATGAAGAGGTTAAGTATTCAAGTATTCGGGATTAAGGGTATCCAACAAAAAGTTCACAGCGCCGGCCCAATAAAACATGGATTTACAGATTTAGAATATAAAAATAATATTTGGCAGGATGTCCCGATTTTTTTTTCCAAATTCGCAGAACATGAAGGAAGATTTACGAACAAGAAGAAAATGGAGAACAAGTAATATAGCAATGTCAAAATATTTGAATCTGCTATTATCTTCTTATTTATAGAATATTGTAAAAAAAGATAAAAAATAATATTTTAATTTCCTGTCTCGGAGTTGCGAATGTAACAAGACGATGTAGATCTGAAACCATCCTCACAACTGTACTCTAAACAAAATACTTTTGTCTGATCGATAATATTGAAGATATTATCGTTTTCTAGGTTTAAGTTTTATTTAGTTAAGATAACTGATAATGTGGAAGATATTATCGTTTTCTAGGTTTAAAAGTTTTATTAATTAAGACAATTGATAATGTGGAAGAAATTATCGTTTTTCTAGGTTTAAGTTTTATTTAATTAAGATAATCGATAATGTGGAAGATATTATCGTTTTTCTAGGTTTAAGTTTTATTTAATTTAAATAATTGATAATGTGGAAGATATTATCGTTTTCTAGGTTTAAGTTTTATTTAATTAAGATAATCGATAATGTGGAAGATATTATCGTTTTTCTAGGTTTAAAAGTTTTATTTAATTAAGATAATTGATAATGTGTAATATATTATCGTTTTTCTAGGTTTAAGTTTTATTTAATTAAGATAATTGATAATGTGTAATATATTATCGTTTTTCTAGGTTTAAGTTTTATTTAATTTAAATAATTGATAATGTGGAAGATATTATCGTTTTCTAGGTTTAAGTTTTATTTAGTTAAGATAACTGATAATGTGGAAGATATAATCATTTTTCTAGATTTAAAAGTTTTAATTAATTAAGATAATTGATAATGTGGAAGATATTATCGTTTTTCTAGGTTCAAAAGTTATATTTAATTAAGATAATTGATAATGTGGAAGATATAATCATTTTTCTAGATTTAAAAGTTTTATCTAATTAAGATAATTGATAATGTGGAAGATATAATCATTTTTCTAGATTTAAAAGTTTTATTTAATTAAGATAATTGATAATGTGGAAGATATTATCATTTTTCTAGGTTTAAAAGTTTTATTTAATTAAGATAATTGATAATGTGGAAGATATTATCATTTTTCAGGGTTGAAAAGTTTTATTTGATTAAGATAATTGATAATGTGGAAGATATTATCGTTTTTCTAAATTTTAAAGTTTTATTTATTTAAGATAATTCCGAAATGTGTTCCTGCAAGTAGAAATGCGCAAGTTACTTTTGTAGAGAAACAGCAATTGAAAATAATCTTTAAAGGGTACCGATGTCATCTTTGCCTGGAGGGTCACTTGAAATTACGCTTTTATACCTCTGGTCCTAGTGCTCTAAGAACTGCTCCCTCCCCTGGATCTGAAGCATTTAGCTGCCGAGGTACATCACTTAGTCCCAGACCAGCCCTAGGGGTAGAAGAATAGATAGATCAATTCAAGGTAATGCAAGGAAAGTTATTGCAGAGGTGAACGCATTTTTTGTACTACAGTGTACTGTCTTTGGGCGGAAAAGTAAACACAAGACGGATGGCACAGCCTGACATGGAATCAATTTTCAAAATTATCAAAATGAACTGCTTTTATCCTCCTCAGATACTAAACGAACAGTGATGCATCTATTCTTGTTTACCAATTCCGCCCAGAGAGAACTGGTTTCAATATGTACGCAGAGTATACGCGACCGCAATTAACTTTCCTTGCATTAGTACCTTGCATTAATTGATTGATAAATATAGAAATATATGGCATATAGAAAGATTAATCCAAAGCGAACTCATGCTGCTGAGCCATGAAATGAAACAAATTTTTCAGCAATAAAAAGAGAAAAATAATCTGTGTTTGAATTATCAGATAGATTATAGGATAGAAAAATAAATAGATGAATAGATAGATAGATAGATGCATAATTAAATAGATAGATAGATGTCTAGATAAATAATAGAAAGATGATCGATATATATGAATAATTATATAGAAGAACGAATGTATGGAAAGATATTAGATATATCATTTATTATGGATGAATAGATGTCTAGAACAAAATAAAAACATTTTCTAAGATAAATAAATTATGAAATCCAATCTATCCAAGCATCTGACAAACTGCAACTTTAGCTAAATGAAGACATACAATTGACCCATAGATCTGTGTATTAGGAAGATAACACATAATTATTAAAGTTTTTCCGATGTTGCCAGGTCCAGCAGGAGTATGCAAATCATTTTAGTAGAAAACTGGGTATTTGTAGACTTCACAATTGCTAGTGTTTATGTTCATTGGACTATACAAAATCGTTACTTGAGTTTAGTGGTAGTCTTCCTGTTGGTGTTCATAATCTTTTAAAACTTATATTGAAAATTCTAACATTTGAAAACTGTATTCTGTTAAAGTTTGCTCTTATTTAACTTTGTATTATTTTTATCCTAGAAAAAGGAAAAACAATCGGTATAATACGTTACACGCAAATCTGCCCCTTTAGTAAAAGTAAATTCAGCTTATATGAAGCATAAAGTCTGACCGCGTAAACCTTGTTGCACCGGCTAGTCCTGTGCTTAGAGCTAGGTACAGTACAAACTGGAACCTGAAGGGTTGACCCGGTTCGGAAATTCAAATGTACTACGGCTGCTCGTGCGTTAATTTTCGGAACGATTTTAGTTTGTTTTTTAACATATATTTTCTGTCCGAGTCAATGATGTAATAAAGCAAATATTTCTAGAACATAATTTTAATTCGCCAAATAACCCTGAATGAAATAAAAGGACAATAACAAACCAACTAAATACACATCACAATACTTCTCGTCATAGATTTATGACTGTACGTAGCCATATTGAGTACAAACCTATCATAGACACAGACTGTAGAGATTGAGGAGAGTTCCTTCTGTAAACGTAACCAAACATCAGAACTACTGCCTTCATACATCAAATATAAACATATTACTTGTAAATGTAACCAAACATCGGAACTACTGCCTTCATACATCAAATATAAATATATTACTTAGTAAATGTAACCAAACATCGGAACTACTGCCTTTACATCAAATATAACTATATTACTTAGTAAATGTAACCAAACATCAGAACTACTGTCTTCATACATCAAATATAACTATATTACTTAGTAAATGTAACCAAACATCAGAACTACTGCCTATACATCAACTGTAAATATATTACTTGTAAATGTAACCAAACATCAGAACCACTGCCTTCATACATCAAATATAAATATATTACTTAGTAAATGTAACCAAACATCCGAACTACTGCCTTCATACATCAAATATAACTATGAAGACCCTACATCAACTGTAAATATATTACTTAGAAATTAAACCAATCATCAGAACTACTGCCTTCATACATCAATTATAACTATGAAGACCCTTCTCTAAATGTAACCAACCATCCGAACTACTGCCTTTATACTTAAAAGTCTGTAGGTTCGAAGGAATAACTAATGTAATGCAGAACGGCTCTTTATTGAAAGAGAATCCTAAGTTTAATTGATAGAATAACTTAACTCCTTTAAGATTTAAGCTGAAAACGCAGAACATTTTTTCCTAGCTATTAGTTTACTTAAAATAAACGAAGATATAAATTCTTTGTAAATATTAATAAGCCTAAGAACTAAACAACTGGTAACACAAATATATATTTAGATGTATTCCTGTTGGCGCATCAAGTATAACTGTGGGTGTCCCAACCCCAGTACAGTTCATGTACAGCTGCTGACCAAACCCAATATCAAACAAGATGGCGTTGGATTGGAAATATTCCCGCTCTTTTTTCAAACCGCCATAGTTGAGCATTGGCGGGAGAAGTATGAGGAGAAGGATTGTTTTTCCAGCATTCTTCAAATATTCACAAATCCCAGAAATAGGAATTTTCTCTTTTATTTGTTTCGTAGATTTCCCCATTGTCAATCTGAAATTAAACTGGATTAAACTAGATAAATGCAACAAAATTCTTTATTTCTCTTATTATTAGATTGAATACAACAATTATACATAAATAGGTACAGTAGTTAAGTTATTTAAAGGAACAGGACAAAAACTCAAATCAGTATTACATTAACAAATCTTTAAAATGCTGGATAATAGTTGCCCCTATTAAAGATCATTCAGACAGACCATGACAATCTGGGTTTTGTGTACATGTACCATTGTTTTTAAGTACATGCAAAACTGTTTTATCGAACAGTACAGTTTGCAGGGCGCAGAACAGTACAACTGTAGGTCTAATCATCTCCTGGTGGAACAGTATCTTCAATTTTCTTTAAAAATTTTATTCTCATCTCAGTCACATTATCACCTTTATTAACAATTTTTAAATTGATTTAAAAAGACATCATAATATCTATTTATGTCATAATAATGGGTAGTATTATTATGTGCGAAAAAGTTTTCGCTGCGATTTTTTCCCTTCAAGTCTGTTCGTCATAGGATGATAAAGTAACTTTATCATCCTACAACAGGAAATATTAAGTGTAAAATTTTATATTTGAATACCAGTGTGTGAAGTATTATAGGACGATAAAGTCACTTCATCACTGTACAACAGGAAATATTAGGTGTGTAATTTTAAATTTGAATAGCAGAGTGATGAAGTAATATAGGATGATAAAGTCACTTTATCATCCTACAGCAGGAAATATTAGGTGTAAAATTTTATATTTGAATAGCAGAGTGTGAAGTATTATAGGACGATAAAGTCACTTTATCACTGTAAATGAATGAGTCTACCTGACTGCTCCAGCTAGTATATTAGCATATTTGAGATTACTGCATGAATCAGGAAGTTCTACAAACTCTCCAACTGGATTACTCTACAAAATAATAAATACAAACTTTTAATTACTTATTTTTTTATTAAACCATTTCTAAAAACCTATTCCTCTCGAGTTTAAAAGAATCTTAGGCCGAGTTTTAACTTTTGAGGAGAAAAAATGATTTTGTGTGGAAAAACAAAAATTAATAAAAAAAGCGTCGAACAGAAAAACTATTTTGTTTTTCACTGAGATTTATTTTATATATAAGTTTAGCCATAAAAATAATAAAACTGCATCCAAACAGAGATAGGAATTTAGAAAGTTAAAGAAAATCTGAAAGAGGGCTGTTTAAAATAAGATCCAGAAAACTCTGGAATTCAAAGATGACTCTTAGACATGAATGACTTTAAGTATGAGAGAAAGCAATTGTGTTGTGTAAACACTAAACAGACCAATGTCCCTTAATAAGTTACTTGTAAAACTATTTGCTTTGTAACAACATCAAATAAAATTATTTCAAATCAAAGCCAATCGGAATGAACTGAGTATTTACGATTATTGCATTAATGTCGTCTTCAATTCCAAAGTTTTAAATTCTCACTCTAGTAAGAAGGATGGAGAAGGTGGAGGAAGGGGAGTGACTCAGCTTACCTCAAATATTAAAGAAAACTCGTCATTTGCAGCAGACCAGCTGGTCACCTGAAATATTAACAAACCATCAACCATCTAACTAAGATGTAATCAACCATCAACCATCTAACTAAGCTGTAATCAACCATCAACCATCTAACCAAGTTATATTTAACCATCAATCATCTAACTAAGTTGTGTTTAACCATAAACCATCTAACTAAGTTGTATTAAATAATCAACCAACAAACTAAGTTGTTATCAACCATCAACCATCTAACTAAGTTGTAATCAACCATCAACCATCTAACTGAGTTGTAATCAATCATCAACCATCAACCATCTAACTGAGTTGTAATCAACCATCAACCATCTAACTAAGTGTAATCAACCATCAACCATCTAACTAAGATGTAATCAATCATCAACCATCAAACCAAGTTGTAATCAACCATCAACCATGTAACTAAGTTTGTTATCAACCATCAACCATCTACATAGGTTGTAATCAACCATCAACCATCTAACTCAGCTGTAATCAACCATCAACCATCTAACTAAGTTGTAATCAATCATCAACCATCTAACTAAGTTGTAATCAACCATCTAACTAAGTTGTAATCAACCATCTAACTAAGCTGTAATCAACCATCAACCATGTAAATAAGTGTAATCAACCATCTAACTAAGATGTAATTAACCATCAACCATCTAACTAAGATGTAATTAACCATCAACCATCTAACTAAGTTTAATCAACCAGCAACCATCTAACTAAGATGTAATCAACCATCAATAAGTGTTATCAACCATCTACCATCTAACTAAGTTGTAATCAACCATCAACCATCTAACCAAGTTGTAATCAATCATCAACCATCTAAATAAGATGAAATCAACCATTAACCATCTACCTAAGTGTAATCAACCATCAACCATAAAACCAAGTTGTCATCAATCATCAACCATCTAACTAAGATGTAATCAATCATCAACCATCTAACCAAGTTGTAATCAATCATCAACCATCTAACCAAGTTGTAACCAATCATCAACCATCTAACCAAGTTGTAATCAATCATCAACCATCTAACTAAGATGTAATTAACCATCAACAATCTAAATAGGTTGAAATCAACCATCTAACTAAGTTGTAATCAATCATCAACCATCTAACTAAGTTGTAATCAACCATCAACCATCTAACTAAGATGTAATCAATCATCAACATCTAACTAAGATGTAATCAACCATTAACCATCTAACTAAGCTGTAATCAACCATCAACCATCTAACTAAGCTGTAATCAACCATCAACCATCTAACTAAGCTGTAATCAACCATCAACCATCTAACTAAGTTGTAATCAACAATCAACCATCTAACTAAGCTGTAATCAACATTCAACCATCTAACTAAGTTGTATTTAACCATAAACCATCTAACTAAGCTGTAATCAACTATCAACCATCTAACTAAGCTGTAATCAACATTCAACCATCTAACCAAGTTATAATGAACTAGTCAACCATCAAACCAACTAGTAAAATGTTTGATGATTTGAAGAAAAAAAATTTACATCTAAAAGAAAGTTTTTTCATCATTTTTAATAATCATCACCAAAATTTAACGAATAAAACCCAATAAAAACAAAGCTAACTTCTGGGTAAAAAAAATATTTTCAAGAAAATTTACAGTATACACCCTGAAACTAAAACAGACCTGTGGGCTGACATTAAGAAAGAGCTTGAAGGCGTGTTGGATTTTCTCCGAAGTCTCCCTAATTAAAATACTGATTAATTTTTGCTAAATTGTATTTTATTTTTTCAAAATTTTGTTAACCAGAAATTTCCGAAAATAAAGATAAAAAACACAAAAACTAAAAAATCTAATACGAAGATTTATAAAAAGAAAAAGGCAAAAAACTGCCCATTTATCTCTGTTTGTATGTCTGATCACAAGTCAAGAGCCCTCTGACCGATTTGCCTCAAATTTTGATTTAGGGAGCTGGGTAGAACTAAGAGAACAAGGACAACTTTGTTTGAAGGCAAAGCTGGGTTCTCAAGCTAGCAATAAATACAGTTTGTTTATTTTATCATAATAGATTAGTATTCTCCTGTAATACCTCAGGAAAGGTTCCTTGAAGCCATTTTTATACATTACTAGCTAAAGAGCCCGGCGTTGCCCGTGGAATAAAAAAGTTTGAAAAAATTGTTGTCCATAAAAAATTTCAGCCCAATCGGTCCAGTCGTTTGGCCGACTATACGCAACATATGTATATATACGAATGTCTTGTTTTATTGTATAGATTATAATCAAACCACCAAATCAATCAATCAACGAATCACCTGAAGTCGGTACATTTGTTGTTGGTTGTTCTGGCAAGAAAATCCTCGACAATACGTACACCTGTACATAGTGTACACAATTCATGAACTGTGTTAGAGTGTCCAGGAAGTACGCAAATATATGTACTGCAATTTACTGTGAAGAACACGGTTTTTTTTACAGAAATCATGTACTACAATAAACCGTACACGAAATATATTGTACATGTGTAAACTGTAAACAAGAAAGAAAATCTATTCTAACAATCTGGTTCAAATATTCTTTAAAAATATAATTTTCAGAATCAAATATAATTTTATCTTAAGATATCATAAATTTTCGATTTGTTCAGCAACTACAAAGAAATGGCAATGTTTATGAATTATTCTTTAAAACTAAACTAAATGTCATTATTATCGGAAGAGCTAAGAAAGTTTAAATAAAAGTTTTGAAATCTTTAAATGCAAATACAAATTTGCTCATCACACTTGCATGTAAATTAAAACCTAAGTCGCAAAATCGTACCAGTAGATTCAGATTGAAATATATTAAAAAGCCTGCACAATGCACATGATTGTATTCCTATATTGTATCCCATCTTCTCCAGCTGACGGTTTACGTCGTCGACATTTTCATAATCCTAAATCATTAATCAATCAATACAACAATCAATCCATCAATCAATCCATCAATCAATCAATTCATCCATCAATCTATCATTCAATTAATCAATCAATCTATCAACCAATTAATCCATCAATCAATTAATCTATCAATCTATCAATTAATTAATCTATCAATCTATCAATCTCTCAACCAATTAATCCATCAATCCATCAGTTCATTAATTCTTCAATCAAATAAATCAACAAATAAATCAACAAATCAATAAAAAAATCAATCAATTCATCTATCAACCAATTAATCAATTAATTAATTAATCAATCAATCTATCAATCTATCAACCAATTAATCAATTAATCAATTAATCTATCAACCAATTAATCCATCAGTCCATTAATTCTTCAATAAATCAACCAATAAATCAATAAATCAACCAATCAATCTATCCGTCAATCAATGCATCAACCAACCTTTAAACATTTTACCTTAAGTATCTGAGCAACCAGAGCTCCATAAGTCAGACTGAAAAGTTCTCCACTGACTTTCTTTGTGTCTGTCACGCGCGCACCTTGCCGAGACATTCTCTCTGAAACAATGCCGCGTAAATTTACAAACATTGTAATTTCATATTTAACAAATACAACAGTTCAAAAACATATAAGACAAGTGCTCTAATCGTTGAAGACCCCTCTTCTGATCTGCATGGTGCGCTTTATTTTCTTATTCTTATTCCACTGAATATCAATAGTTTTCTCGTCCCAGTAGCTGTTCTGGGAACCCCATTTAGTCCCTCTTATGTCAGAGCAGTAAAATTCCTTAATAATAAGAGGATTAAAAAGAATTCATGACAATTAATCAATCTTTTATCATAAAATAATTATAAACCAATTCATGAAAAATTAAAAAATGGTATTTTAAACATTTTTAATATGCAAGAAATTGATTCATAAAGTTCTTAAGTTTTAAGAGTTTTTCTTTAAATGAATGAATGAATGAATGAATAAATAACATAGAATTCATGACAATTAATAAAATTATTAATCATTAAAATTATTGAAGAATGGATTTGATAATAAATAAATGAATTGATTTATGAATAAATTAAATAAAAGACAAATGAATAAATGAACGAATTAATGAAAAAGTCATTAAATGAATGATAGGATGAATGAATGATTGAGTGAACGATTAAATGAACGAATGAGAGGGTATGAATTATTGAGTGAACGAATAAATGAACGAATGAATTACTAAATATACAAACAATTACCTTTCCCGGCATAAGCCCCGCCCGTTGTGACATTTCAGTCAGCTTTCTTAATCTTGTCCACATACGCTGTCATTAGAAAATCAATCAATCAATCAATTATAATTTTATATATAATTAGGTATCTCTGTGTGCCCCCTGACCAATTTGTCTGAAATTTTGATTGGCGAACTCGTTAAAGAAATATAAATGATCTTAAAGTTCATTTGGTCGACCTTTATTATTGTCGTATTTCTAGGTTTAAACGTTTTAAATTCTGATAATTTCTTTATGTTTTATGCGAAAGTCTCTTTTGTAGAGAACCACAGTTGAAAATAATTAGGTTTTAAAATGTTAACCATTGGTATCATTTGTATCTAATTCATACTTGATCAGACAAAGCTTTCAAGGGTACCGTTGTGAATCGGGCATCGCAATCTTTGCATGGTACCCTTTAAAGATAGAAACTAGCTTACCGCACATATCCCTAGGTTTTCTTGACTATACAACTGTCCTTTGTCATCAAGGAATTGATCAAGAATTAAAACGTCTGTGTGTTTAACCTGAAGAAAAAAATGTATTTAATTATTTTAATTAAACAACCAAACAAACAAACATAAAAGTTTATATAAAATTAAATTAAAATTTATTCGGAATTGTAACTTTTATATCATCTTATGATCCTTGTAATCATTGTAAACATTATTATCATTATCATCATTATCATCATTATCATCATTATCATCATTATCATCATTATCATCCTTATCATCGTTATCATCCTTATCATCATTATCATCATTATCATCATTATCATCATTATCATCATTATCATCATTATCATCATTATCATCATTATCATCATTATCATCATAATCATGAACGTTAATCGTATCATCATTATCATCATAAATAAAACAATTGATCATTATTACCCTAATTATCATTATCCATGTTCGCTTACCAAAGGTGCAATAGTTGATTTACAGAATGGGTGACATTTATGATGACCTCCCTCCTGGGCACAGCAGTGGACCACCAACCCCTCCCTGGGGGACTCCTTGATTACCCCCTCCACCACTATCCTCTTTCCCTCGTCACGGTGTTCTATATCCTTTACCAGAACGGGTCTGAAACACAGATTGAAATAATGCGCAAAAAAAAACGAAAACCGCAAAATCAATGAAACTTGTATGGTTAAAACAGATTCAGTAAAACTTAATAATATTCAGGTTTAGCAGTGTAATTCTAATCGCTTTGCTAAGGTCAGCTTTAATAAAGAACAAAACGTGGTTAAACCAGTTATGGTTAGTTGAATTATTTTCATAGATGAGATGTTCATTGTTCTAAGAATTATATTATTATGGGTAAAAAATGTTTGCGAAAATGAAAGGTGTATATTACTGAAACACCATTCAGTGATATCCAGAAAACTCCGTAACAGGAAGACAATTTTTTAATTAAGTTATGACTTAAAATAGTCCAATAAACATTAGACAAAGTAAGTGTTCACTGTAAACAGATTCATCTCACGAAATAAGTGATTTAAGAAGTCAGATAATTAACCTATTTTCTTTGTAACAACATCAAATGCACTTGAGTATTTCTTTAATTTCATTTTACCCTATTATTCCACAGTCTCCAGTACAATTGAAAACTTATTTAATCTAAATGTTGATATTTCAATATACCCACCTAGTACAGTGTAAATATCTAGTTGATAGCCTAGGAGCTAGAACTTGTCTCACAATCGGAACTAAATTCATTTTATCTGAAATATTTGACAAAAATTACATCGGTTTGTTTGGTTGTACTAAAGATTGATGAGGATTTTCTTAGGATACAAAAAATCAAAAATACGCATTGGAGGATTCCTTGAACATTTGAACGGCGCATTTTTACTTGGAAGGACGGGCCTTTCCTCTCTGAGGCCAACCCCATTCAACCTTAGTCTGATCCTCCAGGCATACTACTTGGATACCGGCCTGAAATAAGGCAGTTGTATATTTAGAAAATAATTATGCTTTCTATTAAACTTAAAGGGACTGAAAGCGTAATTTTCAGTGACCCTCCATGCAAAGATGGCAATGCCGGATTCACAACGTTACCATTAAAAGCTTTGTCTGATCAAATACAAAATTAGTTTTTAATGATTATAACTTCTTATAGTAATTATTTGTAATTGTGTTTTGCACATTTTTACTACAGGAAAACATAATTACAATTTTAAACCTAGAAAATTGACAATATCTTCCACATTATTGATCTGATAAAGGGTTTAAGGGTACCGCTGTGTATCGGGCATTGCCATCTTTGCATGGAGGGTCATTTAAATTTATGCATATAGTCCCTCTAATAGTAGTAATAATAACGTTCAGCGTATTTGATTTAAGCTTCTACCTGTGTAATTCCTTTGATGGTGGATTCTCTTGCAGCATTAAACCCGTTTATCCGGACTCTAATTTATCAATCAATCAATCAATTAACTGTGACCATTGAGCACCTATTCCATCCAACAAACAAAATAATTGGCATACTCACCACAAATTTAATTCAAAGAAATAAAAACAAGAGATGAAAGAAATAATGCAGGAATCAATCAATCAACCAAACAAACAAGAACCCAACTCATAACATTCTCTACCTGATGTGTTTAATTCCGTAACTTCGAAGTTTTTGTCCCATCATCATTCCTTAAAACAACAAATTTAGAAAAATTTTCTTTAAAAAAAGATAAATAAATTTAACCTGCTACTTGACCGGCCACTGAAGTTCTCTTCTTGGCGTTCGTGAAACCGTGCATTGCCGGGGAGTTCATGAATATATAACGCTGGTCAGCATGCCTAATAAATCAAATCAAATCAAACCAAACCAAATCAAACCAAACCAAACCAAACCAAACCAAACCAAACCAAACCAAACCAAACCAAATCAAATCAAATCAAATCAAATCAAATCAAATCAAACAATCAAACAATCAAACAATCCTATATTCAATCAATCGATCAATAGATCAAATAAGTCTATTATCAGTTGAAGTTCAATTGGAAAAACTATGAAAAAATCAATTAGAGATTTCATTGTCTAATTACCTGGCGACTAGTCTTGTGTTGTGTTTATGAAGCCTCATTAATACGTAGGGTAAATCCTAGGTGGACCGTTCAATTGTCAATTTAGCTTGTTTAAATTCATCGGTCAATACTAATATTATAAGACATCATTCAGTTATTAGTAGAAACATTTAGGGTTCTGAATTTAATTGTGAATTTCACGAATAAAAATAGTTTGTGGCTATTTTTGTCTATTTTCTAAATTAGAATGATAATAACAACAATAATAATAATCAGTGAACTGATATATTTCACTACTTTTGTGGTTAGCACTAGATAAGGCTGAATACAGGATCCGTTGATATACATGGGATTTGATCATCTTCTGTTAATAAAAATGGGTGAAGGGATTTTTCAACATTTATAAATTATACTCCAGTACCAATAATTTCTATAAATATTCTCGTCATGACTATCCATTTCAAGCGTTGAAAAATATCTCGGAGAGTAGAAAATATTAGAAGAAAAGACGACAAATACGGGCAAAAACATGATTGTATATTTTTTTCTAGGGGGGGGGCTTTTGGAAAAAAAGGTAGGGGACCACCCCCCCCCCCCCAACTACCCCCACGTAATGATTATCATAAAAGAAATTATCTATGTTTCTGGCTCTCAGGAACATCTTGGAGCGGCAGAACAAACCTTTTCAGTAAATCTTTATAAAAATGGAATTGAACGGATTCCTTAAATTTAATTCCATTGAAAAGAAGATCCGGGGTCTCCTCATCAGGAAACCGTTTAAATTCTCCTTCACTCTAAACATACAATCAATCAATTGATCAATCATCAAATCAATCAACTAATCCAACTCATCAATAAATCAAACAATCGTTTATAACTCTTCTTTACTCTAAAAATTCAATCAAATAATCTACTAATAAATCATTCAATCAATCAATCAATCGTATAAACTCTCTTTCACTCTAAAGAGTCAATCAATCAGTCAATATATCATTAAATCAATGATTGCATTAATGAATGATTCAATGTATCAATCAATCATCAAATTAAAAAAATAATGATTTATTTATTCAATTATTCAGTAAATCAACCAGCAATCCAATCAACAAATCAATCAACAATCTTGGATAAATTAATCCAACATCAGTGCAACTGATCCAAACTCAACTTCAAAAAAACATATTTAGTAATTTTTACTCATCATTTAAAAAAACATAAAAAGGAAAGAAAATAAATTGAATTTTCCTCAACAGTAATAAACCAGGTAATTATAAATCAATCAATCAATCAAGCAATCATTTAATTCATATTTTTACCATTAATTGTTCTTCTATTAGCAATGAGTCCAACTCTACAGCTGAAAAAAAATAACATTAATAAAAAGATTTTTTATAATTATAAAATTTTTAATATTTCATTTGTTTATTTCAAAGAAAGAGGGAGTAAGTTAAAACTAAATTGATCTTGGAAAGGGCAGGTGACAAGGGTGGAAGTATTGTGGGTGTAGAGTCCCGGAGCTTCATTGTTAGAAAACGGGAAAGTAACCTAACCCTTTAAAGACACGAAGGGGTAATTGAGAGGAAGATGAGAGGTGGTGGAAAGGATGGAAACCATTATTACCTCCTGAGGACAGTAGTTCATCATTCTTCTGATGTGTTCGGGTTGAGAGTATTCCCTAAACATAGTTTTTTTTAGAATTTCATAACTTTGATCTAATAAACCTTTTTTTCTTCATAAATTTTATTTTCAAAATAAACTTATTGTTAATTTATTTCAATGGTTGAATTTTTTTAGATAATAATATTTTTAAAAAATATGGTTTAAAAAATATTAACAAAAAAGTCACAGTTAAAAAATTCGCTAACTTTCTTTATACATTAAGAACAAAAGGAAATGGAATCTGCAGAGACTATATGTGGAGTGTGGATCACCAGACCAACACCAACTTGTGTACAATATGGCTTACCTTTTTTCCAACTGCAACTTTAACAGGTACGATAGAGTCATCTTTTTCCTAAAAGAAAAATATGAAGAAAAAATGTCTGTTAAAAAGTTATTCCATTTTAAAAGCACTAAATTGTGAAAATGATGCAGTTATCTTTGGAAGTAAGCGTTAAGGGAAGATGGGGGCACTGTGAGGGATAAGGGGGGGGGGGCAGCCAAATGAGTTTGTTTCATAAACCTCTTATTTATGTCAAATAAGGCTTGGCCACCAAAATTTTTTTTGAGAGAAGTCTTTAAGTTATTTAAATGTTATGTTTTAGTTAAGAATTTTGACCGAAAACCCGCTATTGCATTGAAGACTCTTAAAATAGGATTTTTCAACACGCTACTCTGAATAAATGAAGGTTTTGACATACTGCCGACGCCACTAAACCTTTTCTATATGGCTGTTAGAGTCTATTTATATATTTAGACTATCACAAAACTGCTTTCCTTTCTTGTACTTTTTCTATAAGATATGTTTTTCTTCCGAAATAGCTCGCGGTAACAAAGACGACATTCATAAACTTGAAGAATGGGGGGGGGGCATTATTTTACCACTAACCTGACGTATTAATGATGTATGAATATATCTTGAAGGATACAGAAAAGGATCACCAAGAATACGTGGTACACATGGTAAACTTGAATTAACAAAATTGAATTTTAAAATATAAATATACAAGGAGAGCTTGAATATTTATCAGTTTGAAAAACCCTGTTTAATAATTGGATTAGAGTAAAATTAACTATAGTCATAACCAGAAAGACCCGGAATTAATTATAATTAATCAGTGGCCGAATTTAAAGAATTTGAGCGGCGGTTTAAATTTAAGCCGCGGTTTAAATATGGTTGGTTCCACTTAAAATTGTATCAAATGTTTCAAGATTTAAGCCGGCGCTTAATTTAAACCGGGTTTTGGCGGATTTAAACCGCTGCTCAGACGATTTTAAATCTAATTTTACAAATATGATCAATGAAACAATTAAAAAAATAGCCCTAGTCCTACCAATTCTAAAATGTAGTCTGCCTTTAACGTGCGTTTAAAATTATATGTAAAGTCGTCTAATTAACTGTCCATTAATTCCAATTCTTTTTGGTTATGACTGCATTGAGATATCATGCTAAATACAACTTTTGCATAGTCGTATGTAGGAATTTATTCAGAGGGACTCTTTTCTCAATTTTACAATTTTTTAATTAAAAATATGCTTAAATATTTTTTAATTAAAAATATGCTTAAATATTATGGAAAAACCTCCGTTTCCTTAATAGGATTCGTTTATTGATAAACTGCCTGATATTATGTACTAGGCTTAAATCAGCATTCGATTCTACCAATTTAACATTACAAATTATTTCTGATATTGTCCATATATAAGTGGTAATTTTTACTTAAAAGAGAAAATTTTCTTCTTACAGTGTATGGTAAGCGTTAATATCAACACTGTAGAAACAATTCTATTTAAATCAAATATTCAAACAAAGTTTTCAAGTAAACATTAAAAGAATCTGTTAAAGGGAGTGTTCGCAAAAACTAAAAGGGGTTATAAGTTGCGTCTAACAGGAGAAAATGGTTAAAAACGACTCATGCTGAAGAACGAAGCGCCAATACAAAAATATTTCGCTGGCGCTGGATTTTCGAACATTCCTGGAAAATATGAAAATGTCGTCTTCATTATCAAAAATCTTAGAAACAGGAATAAATGTGTTTCAAAAGAATCTATCAGATCATAAAAAATAGAAAATATTATAAAATATCAACTATGTACGAATTCGTCGAAAAATAATCGATGACTATTGGTTTAAAATCTGAATGATTTGTTTGGAACTAAATTGATTTTTTACGATACGAGTTGAATTTTGCAACTGTCTGAATTTGTATGGACGCTATACGTTCTTCGGTATTAGTCGTTTTTAACAATTTTCTCCTGATAGACGAAACAGATAAAAGAAAGATTAGTAGCGATTAAAAGCGCTTATTTTTCACCGTAAGCCTATACCCCCTTTAATTTTCGCGAACACTCCCTTTAAGTGACAGCTTCTTTTTGTTTCCATTTTATGTGTGTCCAAGCTGTTTGAAAGCTTGGGACAGATTAAAATTGAAATAGAAAGTAGCCTTCATAGCATTGATATATACGACGACGACTGTATCAATTCAAAATAATCAAGGGTCCAGAATAGATTTAACAATTTTATTTTCCTTTTGTGAAGCAAACTTGGAATTGATTTTCTACAAAACCACAAACTTTTAGCCATATTCATTTTCTATCTGAAATATAAATAAATATACATAAATACATTTTGTCATGTTAAAAAAAATGATTAAAAGAAAAAGTTTATCAAAACTAATACTTCTACAAAAATACATAAAAATACAAATAAGTAAAAAAGCTAGTTTAAAAAATAACACAGATTGAAAGCTTGGGCAAACAAAGGCATCAGACAAATATCATAATTCTAGGCAAGTTCTGCAGGTATAAAAAAAGTTAGGCCAAAAAATACTTTATATTACTACTTAAAAATATCACAGGGTTTATAAAGTTTGTAGAAAGACTTTTTTCAGGTAGAATATTTAAATAAATAATAAAAATAAATAATGATAAAGACAATTTAGCATTAAAGAACAAAATATAGTTTCTTGAAAAAACATTTAATCTAATTTGTTCAGTGATTCAGTTCTTAAACATCTGATGATTCCAGAAGACTGTACAAATGTTTTATCTTCTCTTTCCCCGCCATCTTCTTATTATTAACCTGAAATAGATAAATCAATAAATCAATATTAATTCATAATTAGGATTTTTTAACCTTTAGGTCAAGCATATCATCCAGGGTTTCAGGCAGGGGCTTTCCTAAAACGTTTTCCTTCACAAATAATGAAGACAAAATATAAAAAATAAAAAAAAATGTGGTTTTCAGGTCGAAGCGGGTGGCTTTAAAAAAAATGTAAGCCCCCCAGGACAAATTCCTGAATACGCCCCTAAATAAAAAACTGTAAATATATATTCTGCCTAAAATTCAAAATAGAAGGTTAAAAGTAAAAGAATTGTTTTTCAACCACAATGTCACTTCCGTAAATTTTCATCCAGGGAAAATGTGAGGAATTAAGTTTTAAAATTTTAAGAATAAGTAAAGCAAAACCAACACAAAATTAAATATACTTTTCGGCCTTATTTTCCCACACATTTTTTTGTTAATCTTTTCTTAATAAACTCTAAGCAGTGTTAAAAAATATCTAACGTGCATTTCTTGCTATATGCTATAAAAATAAAAACACTTTTTTTTAAAAGCAGAAAAGTGGAATTATATTTGTTTGAGAAAGATTCCTTGAGTTTCTGGTAGTCTCAGATTTAGTAATCCAGCAGTTATTGACATTACACCAAATACTGGACACATATTCAAGTCATTTTTTTTTATAATTTGTAACATAAAAGAAAAAAATTCAACCTAATTCTAATTTTTAAATTTCATGCATACTTAAAATTTAAAGTAAAAGGGGCTCTATTTGTAAACTTAAATAACCTTCCATTAAAAACAACGAGGCATGTCCGATTCACAACGATACCCTTTGAACCTTTATGTGAACAATAATGTGCAGGATATATTCGTTTTTTAGATCAATGCTTAAATCCGTTTGTAGAGAAACTACAATTCAAAATGAACAATTTCTAAAGGAAATTGATGGAAATATCATTCTTGTCCAGACTAGGCTTCATCTTGTTTAGTGGTCCACACCAGGGGGTGTATATTTTTATAATGATTTATGGAGATCTGGGGAAATATATGAAAAATTGGACAAGCCTATCTTTTTCAACCTCTTTCATACTTATGAACCCAAAAGGTTTTTTATTTTCCCATAAAATCATTTATTTTCCCAATTCAGCAAATAAAGTCCTAAAAAACATTTTGCACTACAATTTGCAAAAGAGGGTTATTTTAAGTATCCTTCCATTTTCAAAGTAACTGTCGTAGTAATCTTATGTGACCATCCATTTAAAGAAGGACATGTGCGCTATTCTCAACCTTTTCTTCTAATGAAGAATGTGGAAGATTTGTCGATTTTAACCATGACAAGTGTTAATTTCTACCAATTTCCTCTTAAATGTTTCTAAAGCAGGAATGCGCAAAGTCACTTTACAGAGAAACTACAGTTGAAAATAATCAAGTTTACAATAGAAGTCGATCGCTGATATATCATGCATTAATGTTCATTAAAATGGGTACCGTTGTGTATCGGACATGCAACTCTGAAAATAGTCATTTGAAATAATGTCTACATTCCGTTCAAGTTTAACAACAACATTAAAGATAGTTAATCCTTCATCTTTTTTAAAGATTAAATAGAATTTAAATTCTTCTACAGAAGGGATGTTGACACTGACAGTCGTTAAAAAGTTAAAATAATCGCAAAAGGCCTGGATAATTATCTCAAGCAACTTTTTGGAAGTAGTTTTTTAATGCTTCGTGTTCCTATTTTAGGCTCACATTACACCCGTTTAATTAAAAGCACATAGTTTAATTCTTTATTAGTTAACAATAAATAATCTCTGCATGAAGTAAAAAAGTAAAAATAATAATTAACATTTCTAAAATTTTAATTCTTTCATCAGCCAGTGAACAGCAGAATGAAAGGATGAACAGATAAAAGAATGCATAAATGAATGAGCGAAGGAATGAACAAACACATGAAGGAAAGGATGAATAAAGGAATGAATAAATGAATGAATAAATGAGAAAATATATGTTCCTGTAAATTGAGAGTTAGGAACTGTATCACCAAGAAGAACAATGAAGGGGGCACAAATCCCGCCAAATCTACGAATATTAAGTTTCGATGATAAAGTTATACTTTTTTCCTCCATCTGTCTCTGTCTCTGTGTATCTGTGTATCTGTGTCTCTGTGTCTCTGTGTCTGTCTCTGTGTCTGTCTCTGTCTCTGTCTCTGTCTCTGTATCTGTATCTGTATCTGTATCTACCTGGCTGCAACTGACACTAAACCCATGGCAGAATTACGCATCGTAGTGGGAAATATCTCACCACTATGAATGTACACGACAGCAAAACTAAATAATTTTCATTAATTCAAAGTTTCACAGCTGACGTTGGCAATTACTATAAGAGAAAAAATCAAGCTCATTAATGTATGCAATTTTCTCTCAATTCAAAAAGAAGTTAAAATCGCAAAACCTGTTGAAAAATTTCATAAGAAAAGGTTTGAGTTTAAATAAAACTATTAGTATTTGAATATCAACAAAATGGACTATATTTAACGATTGAAAACGGCACTCTGTAAACCTTTTTCTGATCATGTACGACAGAGAAAATCCGTGTATTAATCTCTAAAATGGCTATAAAATAACCGTAAAAAATGCCGAGTGTACGCTAGCTTACAGTGTGAACTCAACCCTGGGCCAGCTGACTTTACATATTTCTTGACAACTCCTTACTTTCTATGCATTCTATAGATAAATAAGGAAGTCCGTTTTACTTGATGTTTCAAAGGTTTAAAGGGAACAGTTGTGAATCGTACAATCCATTATTCAAAGTTACTTTAAATTAAGCTTAAAGTCCCTTTATCTGTACCTAGCTGCTAGGCAGAGTTTACCAAGGAGAGCACAAGAGGTTGCCATGAAGGGTAATATTCCTAAACAAAGATAAAAACTAAGAAACAAAATTGTAAACGCTAAGTCATCGTAATAATAATAACTAGCTGAAGCGCCTCGCGTTGCCCGTGAAAATCGAATTTTGAAAAAAAATTCGATTTAAAAAAAAATTCGATTTTTGAAAAACTCAAGGGTTCCCTCAAAAAATTTCAGCCCATTCGGTACAGCGCGGCGTTTGACCAGCTATAGAGTAAGAATATATGCTGGTATCTCCACTGCTCCACTCAGTGCTGTAGTGGTGTATAAACCTCCACCAGAGGAACCTATTAAAGGAAGAATATATGCTGGTATCTCCACTGCTCCACTAAGTGCTGTAGTTGTGTATAAACCTCCACCAGAGGAACCTATTAAAGGGGGTACATATAGACGTAATTTCAAGTGAACCTAAACTTAAAGAGTGGTATAACCGATTCACAAGGGTACCCTTGCAAATTGTTTCAAAAAAAATAATCAGTCACTTTTTTAGAGAAACCACATTTAAAAAAATCAATTTTTCTGGAGGAAAAGAATATTATCTCTTTATCTTTTATCAGACACAGGTTTAAAAGTTACTGTTGTGAATAGGACATGACACTCTATGTTAATGGAGGGACACTTAAATTACGCCTACAGTCCCTTTAATATATTAAAGATATGTGAAGAAGTTTATGTAAAAAACTTTATTGGGTGAAAATAAAATCCTCCATTGTTAATATTAATTTTACTTTAATAAATGAAAATCTGACCTGCTGCTAGGGTTAATCCATAATAGGAACTTGAGTTCACAAACCAGGAATAGATTTGGATTATTGTTAGAACAGCCAGCTCCCATTTACTAGGATAATCAATTATCGAATTATTATCATGATTATTTTTAAGATTATTATTATTATTATTATACAACCTTTCAATCAATGATTAAACCCTTTTATCAAACGAAGTCTCCAATTTGTTCAAAAAGCTTAATGTTGCTTTTGGGGATTTTTGTAGCAAGTAATTTGTTGTTTTCAAGTTTTTTACACTTATTTTGTATTCAGCAGTATCTATGTAAATATAAAGTTTGTAATATTTAATCATAACTCATAAACCCCTTGACAGATTCACCTAAAACTTTGTTTGGGGAATCACTGGAGCGTTATGAGCTTGGGTTTAAAATCTTAGTTGAGTGGGTCGACTTTTGTTTTAGAGAAACTCAAGACTAAGCTGGGTTCCCATTTCCAAACTAGTACTTAATAAACATATTAATCCAAATAAAATAAACAGAAAAATCTTTGAAATTTTTCAATTTTAGGATGAATTAAAAAAAACTTTTACTTGAAAAGGACTATCTGAAATCTGTCATTCCCTTGAAATTAGTTTCCAAAACACAGTAAAAAAAACTAGTGAATACCAAGCCCATTTACTTCAGGATTTTATTAGTAAAATTTGAAATATCTTGATTTATGTAAAACAAGAATTCACCTAAATAAGTCCATTAGACCTTCATTGTTCAAGGAGGTTTTCTTCTTTTCAGAGTTCATACCAAGTTTGGGATTCAGTTCCTACAGAAGAATCAAATTTAAAGAAAACAGGGTTTGATATTTTCTTAAAATATCCTTTCATAATTTCTTCAAAAGTAATTTTTCTTTTGGTCATTAAAAAGAATCCAAAAGGGGAAAAAACTTGCCAGTAGTTGAAAAATTTTACATCCCCAAAACTCCAGGGAAGTAAATTTAAAAAAAATTAATACCCCTGAAATTAGACCTGGATTGAATTTGAGCATTGTCACAATTTGCCAAAAAATACATTTTCATCTTTGCAATAAAAAAAATGAGATTGTTTTCAGATTAATTTCTTTCCTTTCCGTTCCCTCTAGCAATAGTCTCCAGCACAAACACAGCTTCGTTGAATTTGTTCTTAGTTAACAACCAGCGGGGACTTTCTAATATCAGTGCCATGAAAAATAATGTTTTTCAAGAAATCTGATATTTGCTTAAAGTTTAAATTTAGATTTTCTTATCTCTCTCATTTAAAATTTTTTATATACGTTAAAGTTGAAAATGTATTTATAATTTTAATATAATCCAGTGTTTCAAATCAAAAGCAATTTTGCGTAAAATATTTGCTTAACACGCGGTTTTTTGAGTAAAATTTTTGTTTGAAGTAAGTGAAAAAATTGATCTAGTGATGAATAGTGAGATTCTATAGCACAATCCTGGTATAAAGAAATGATAAGTTACTAAAGGAAGACCAATAAAGGAGATGAGAAGGGTCAGTTCTCTCCAGTTCTGAACCTGATATGCTATCCCAGCAACAATAACAATCCCTGAAAATAAAAAATTAAAATATTAAATTCTTTCATATAAAGACAGGGGTATATATTTTAAAGAAAATTTATCTTTTTAATTCCCCCCACCCTCAAAATCGATAATTATCCCCAAGTAAGTAAATAAACTCACTTATTTCTTTATATCTGGAAAAAAAATTATTTCCCAGGCCGGCGAAGGTAAACAAATGTTCAAGAAAACATACAATTTTATGAAAAGTACTAAGTTACCTATTGCAAAGAAGGATTGCAGAGTGACACCAATTAATCCTCTTTTTGATGGACCAACAAGTTCATTGGCTAAGGAAAAAACTTTTAAATGTTTGTTCATAAATTCTTCAGTTAATTCTGAGATAGAAACTATTGCAGAAAACCCTCATGAATCTTTAAATTTAAATTGGTGATTCAAATTTGAAACGAAAGTAAGAAATACAGCGACCTAGATAAAATTCCTTAAATTATCTCCCTAGTCGGCTGATGTTTTGAGCAGACGAGGCTCTTACCAGAGATATCAAAAAAGATTGATCTTAATCTCCATGTTTGACAACAAAATTTACGGATTAGTGGTTTTTGAACGGATTAACAATACAAAAGTTCATACCCCTGTACAATTACCTACCTAGAACAAAAATTGATAAAATACTTCCGGCCTCGAAGAATCCAACACAGAACTTAGAGATCATATAAATAGAGTAGGTTCGGGAAAAGGCAGAAACTAGAAAAATTTAAATCATACAGTCGTCTTCGTATAACCAATACTATAAAGACGACTTTCAATTTTAATTTAAGTCCCTACCAAGCTTTCATACAGTTTCAATGCACATAAAATGCAAACAAAGTTTCTTAGTATTGATATAAACGCTTACCACTGTAGCATACACCTTATTTATAATTATAAATATTGCAACCATTTCATTTTATTTATTTCCTCTAATAATGAGAATAAAATATTTTATAAATATTTTCATTTTATTTTCCAATTATAAAGAATTTGCAAATGTGAAAAATAAATGTCTAATGTAAATGTAATAAATTTCAAAATTTGGAAAATGCAAATATTGGTTCCAGAACTATGTCCCTAGCATTACAGTAATTCCTGATAAATAATATTTCTCTGAAAAAAATGAATATCTGCACCTGTATTGAATATTAATAAACCAAAGGTTGTCAGCGTCATACTGGTTTTTCTTCCAATTTTGTCAGCCAACTTACCCAGCACTAAGGCGCCTAAACATAAACAAAATTACCTATTTTATCCCTCCTTCCTTGCCCTAACTATTAAATCTTACATTAATTGATGTAAGGCCACTTTCTACGAGTTTTAACATTAAATTTGAGTTTTTGGGAAAAAGATCAAAAAAAAGTTTTTTAAAGTATAAAAAGTAATTAAACGAAATCAGTGTTTAAACAGCATAACAGGACTGGTGTATTTTTAAAAGAATTCAAACTAATAAATAATAATGGGATTTGATTAGATAAACTAACGAGATTTGACAAGATAAAATAACGGGAGAAAGGTGAAAAAGCATGCTTCTACACTCAAAACATATACAGACTTTACAAAAGCCAGGTTTTGTCTTTTGTCTTACTGGCCATTTTTAAAATGATTTTTATCTAATTTAGCGGAAGAAATTCTAAAACTATGTTATAAGGTAATTGAAAAACCCCTGAGCCCAAAACTTAAGAAAGGGTATCGTTATAAAACCCAGTATCGAAAACCGGGTTTCACGAATGTGATAAGGCAATTTTGATAATATTTTAACATTTTTGTTAAGAAACATGACTTTATATGGTTTTTTAATATCTTATTTTTAAATTTTGAAATGGTTAGGTTCTACTTTCGTAGCAGGCCTTAAATTATCTTGAGTTTCGTTTGTTTAACGATACTCTTTTAAATTTCGGGCTCTGGGTGTAAATCAATTGTCAACTTGATTGAAACCAAGGAGTACAAAAACAATGATTAAAAATTGATACAACATGCTTCTTATATCTTATATTATACATACATTACATTTTAAATACATTTCATTCAAGTTTCTTCCTGTCGTCTAGGAAAAGAGTGATTAAAATAGATTTTTTAACATCAAAACAGGAAGTATTGATGCTTAATCCCTGCCATAAATACCACCTGGCATAACCTCTTCAATTAATCTCACTTGGCATAAAGACTGCCATAATTCCCAAATCTCACCTAATTCAACCCCTGCCATAAATCTTGAATCTCACCTGGCATAACCCCTGCCTTAAATCCCAAATCTCACCTAACATATCCCTGTAATAAACCCGAAATTTCACCTAACATAACCCCTGCCATAAACCCGAAATCTCACCTAGCATAACCCCTGCCATATATCTCACCTAGCATAACCCCTGCCATATATCTCACCTAGCATAACCCCTGCCATATATCTCACCTAGCATAACCCCTGCCATAAACCCGGACATGGTTGCTTTACTTCTCCAGTTCTCATCACAGACTAGCCCCCACTCTGATACTATAGAAGAGGAGGAGGAGGTATCAAACTCTAGACGTACACAACTAGATCTACAAATACATCCCATACACTAAGGGGAGTCCATTCTTTTAATCAGCGCTTAGGATCCATTTAATTTTGATGCGGATGCGGATCCAGGATCCGGATCCGCACTGGAAAAAAATGGATCCAGGTAATTTCTTTAAGATTTACTGAATTTTTTAACAAAAATAATTTTCAATTTTTTTTTTCGTTTAATTTTATCCTGAAACTTGATGAACCATTCAGAAATGAGAATTTTTTTTATAATTTCTCTTTTTTTCAAAAGTTCAGATTTGGGTTTTAGGAGTAAAAAAGTTTTTTTCTTCTTCGGTTTTTGGTTGATTTTTTACCCCTTGGATCCGGATCGGTGGATCTGCATATTTTTTGCGGATCCGGATCCATGAAACCAAAATCTTGCGGATCCGGATCTTCTTTAAATTCGGCCACAGATTAGTTAAACTAAACAGGATAAAACAGGATATCATAGAAAGAAATTTGATTAATTTACAACACTCACACAAATATATGGACATGCATAGTAATAACAACAAAAACATGCATTGTTATTAACTAAACCAACCTGGAATTATCAAAGCAACTGTTCCTGATGGTTTTATTGTTTACATCTGTACACTTGAAATCTACATGGAAACTCACAAACGCATACTATAACATTAATTCTTTAAATATAGTTATAGGAACCGGGTACTTGATACAAACTTTAATTTCCTATCCTTTATATTTGCAATCTGATTTCGAAGACCTTTGATATTTTAAACTATTTAGTCTCCTTTCTCAACAAATGAAAGCTTTACACCATCAGGTTGCAAAGATACGGGGATTAGAATTTTTCTTAATTTCTGTTCAGTAATTACTATATTTTATATCCTGTAATTACTATATTTTACATCCTGTACTAAACGGGGACAACTTCTTTAAAGGCCTGCCAAAGTAAATTCAAGCCTGTTTACAACTTTTAAAGTTAAACAAAAATATCCTTATTTTTCTTTCTAAAAATTGATAATTAGATGTTGCGGATTTTAATAATAATAAAGGTTTTAATGGTTTAAATGGAGTCACTTGAAACTCTTTCAGTTTCCAGATTGTCTGAGACATTTTAAGATTTTTTGGGATAAATTAAAATTTAATAATAATAATTAAATATTTCTTGTTTCAGTGAGCAATGAATGTGTTCCAGAAAATGTTTTGATTACTAAAAAACTGTATAAAACTAGCTGATATCTTTTTGAATTTTGAAAAAATAAAATTGATATTTTTAGCCTACGTTATCTCCAGATTGGTCCAGCCGTTTAGCCAGCTATAGCTAACATATATATATATATATATAGAAATAATTGTAACTACTGAGGATTGTCATGATGACGTGAAACATTATGTTTAGTATAATTCTTTTTTAATAAAAAATGTTAAGTTAAAAACTGAAATATATATATATATATATAAAAAAATGCAAATATTTTATATATGAGCGGTTTGCATTATGCATAGCAGCATATCGTTATTTAGAAGTTAAATATTTATAATTTTCTTATTACATAAAAACTGACCTGTAGCATATGCATAGCAGCATAAACATTCATTAAGCTTAGACAGAAGGAATATATTAACTGCTGTCTCCCCAGCTCTCCAATATCTCTGCGAATTAAATATTCATCATTTCAGAAAAATTCATTTTTTAAAGTTCATTTACGCTCTAAAAATTGCAATTTCCTCATTTTATAGCTTGACACCTTCGCTGAATGATTTTGCCATTGGTAACATTTGTTACAATTTAGTAATTTCCTTAATGAGAGTTGATAAGTCACCTTACCTATAGACATGGAGGCAATTAACCTTCATTGCAAGGGGTTAATTTATGAGACGTTTAAAAATGGAAAGTTAATTATGAAAAAAACCTAGGCATTTAAAAGTTCCTTACTGAGAACGATGATAAAAGGCAATTAAAGAGTGTTTAAAAAAACATTCACGTTTTTCTCTCCGAGGTTTAATTTTTACCCTATCACAATGAAATTAATATTATCTCTTGGGTGTTTGGACTTTGTAAATAATCAGATTCTTGTCATTTTAAAGCCGATTCTGGACTATTCAAAGCTTCACACATGTTTTTTTTTGCACGTTGGCTTATCAGTATTTCCCCAAGAGACAAAGAGCATTTATAATAATATATAATAATATATTATTATAACAGCAAATCCGATAATTATGATATTAATTTCAATATGATCGGGTAAAAATTAAGCATTTGAAAAAAAAGTGTGAAGTGTTTGGTTTTTAAACACACTTAAAAAGCACCACTTAAAAAAGTTGACCAAAATTATGATTGAATATAAAACCTGAAGACTTCGTCTATATCCATTCTATCTGAAACAATATCACAGAATATTAACAAATCACAATCAATTAATTGATTACAAAGGAACTTAATTTTGTGTACATGTTACACTGTCTACTGTACATACACTGTACATTGAACAGTACACTGTACATATATATGATATAAGTACTGCAGCAGGTAAACTTTAAAGAAGAAAAATAAAAAAGGTTACAATTTTTCTTAATAAAAATGTTATTATTCTGGACCAAAGTAGACTTAACACTCCCATCAAATATATTTAAACAAATGTTTTCTAGTGTAAAGTAATCTCAAGCAAGATTGTTAAAGGAAAAAATGACATATTTGTTAAAGGAAAAAATGACATATTTGTTAAAGGAATAAATGACATATTTGTTAAAGGAAAAAATGATATATTTGTTAAAGGAAAAAATGACATATTTGTTAGAAAAAAACCCTATTTTAAACAAAATAGCACGAAAAAAATGAAGTTTTTAGAAATGAATCTACAAAATCACCCACCCCTTCCTCCGAAATAAAACTAGATACATCCAGAAAATGACCCTGAAGGTGACATCGACAAAGATTGTTTAAACATTAAACACTTGTTGAATTCTTTATGCAAACATTTATACATTACCACCCCCCGGATTTTTCAGACAATATTCGTACTAAAAAAAGTAACGCAGTCAATCTAAGAGTTGTTTAAAGGGAATATAAGCGTAATGTTAAGCAACCCTCTATGCAAAGATGGCAATGCCCGATAAACAACGGTACCCATGGAATCTTAATTTGTTCAAAAATGTGAAAGCTAACTTCGTTTTTTTTTCTGACTCGAAGTGTTATTTTCTGTGACGCTTCTTCAAGTCTATTAAGCGGAGAAACCGTAATTGCAAATTTAACAGTTTAAAGAAACAAAAACATGAATGTCTAAACCATACTTGATCAGACAAACTTGTAAGCGTACCGTTGTAAATCGGAAATTGTCATCTTAGCAAGGAGAACCTCTTGAAATTACCCTTACTGTCCTTTTAATAAATAAGTTAGAAATGGAAAAAAGTTTTTTGATTAAAGTATTTAAGATATAAAAATCAAGAGGGACAAAATACATTCTGATCAATCAACGTAAAATTTTCAAGAAAATCATTTGTGTTAACGTTAAGACTACTTTTGATTGCTTGATTGCTAAAACATAATTGCACAAAAGTAAAACAAACAGTATTACTTAAGATGTAATCTATAATCTGAGATCTACATGTATAAATATAAATATATTGTAAAAACTAACAAACTGTATGTTTAGTGTAATTTTGTTTTAAAGGGTTGATAACCTTTTAATTTAAATACATATATAAAAATACCCCTTAACATATGAAATAACTAATGTGAACATTTTTGTTAACAGTAGACTCAATAGTAACAAAAATGTTTCATAAAAGCATGGATGAATGTATTATGAATGTATGGTTGATAGAAAAATAGGAGGAAAAACTAAGGAGATGAATTACCCCAGTCGTTGTATGATCGGAGCCCGTACAACATGTATTGTATAAGCATTCAGTCGTACTCTCCAGTCTGGACTACCAAGTATTGAGTGGATCCAGCACGTTTTATGCAACAAATGTAGCCTGGCAAGATCAATGGAAATACTTATATAGCAGAAGGATGAAAATTAAACATTGAATACGAATATGTAGATGGACTTTTTAAAGGTGGAAGTATAGACATATCTTAATAGATGAATAAACAAACGAATGAATGCACTATGAATAAATGAATGAATGATTATACGTGCAGAAGGATAAAAAGTCTATTGGGGGATGTATAAACGCATGTTGATAAACAGATGAATGTCCTATGAATATATGCTTACATCGAAGAAAGATGAACATATGGATAGAAGTTTATTGCATGAATGACCACATGTTGATGAATGACTGCAAAGATCTTTAGATCTACTGGTACAAGAAGAAAGCGTAGAATCTTATGTACGTCACGAGTACACCCACAGTACTGTACAAGGAGTAAAACATCAAGGGTAGAAATGGTAACCTAAAAAATATAATAAAAAAACAATAATAAATCGAGATGTTAAAAAGCAGCTTTACCTTTCAGCAAATCCTAGATAATGATGCACGAATTCTGCATACAGAAATACCTAAAATAAAATTTTTACAGTGTAGTGTAGAGTGTAGGGTGTAGGGTATAGAGTGTAGAGTGTAGAGTGTAGAGTGTAGAGTGTAGAGTGTAGAGTGTAGAGTGTTGTGCGTATATGGGTGCACTATAATGAACTGTAATTCAGTGTTCAGTACTTAACAGCTTTGTAAATGTACAGTTCTATATAGCAATTTACTGTAATGTACTGTACTGCACTGTACTAACCGGTATAGCTAGCAGAAGGTAGAGAACTTCCTTCTTACAAAAAAGAGATCCTTTGTACACTTGCTGAATACACAACACAATAAGTACATTTTTTCAGAAAAAATAAAAACTTTTTTAAAAAAGTCAAAAAGGAAAATAAATGTTGATTCTATCTATATATAAATTTGGCTTGTCTGTCTGTCTGTTTGTATCCAATAAACGTCAAAACGGCTGAACCGATCGGGCCCAAATTTTTGGTGGGACATCTAGGGACCCCAGGGAAGGTTTATGAATGATTGAAATTTTAAATATTTGTCTCCATCAAAACTCGATCGTCATTAAATTTTTGAAAATTTTGAAAATCCGCGAATTTTTTTGTGAAAATCCGCAAATTATTTTTGTTTTGTTTTACGATGTACACAAAGAGAACATGTTCAAAATTAATTTAGAAGATGGGCGCGAAGCGCCCACTAAGGCTAGTTGTTGTATATTCCTTAATAAGCTTGTAGTTGAGAGAAGTAGAGAATATAAACAGAAACATTTTACTCAACAATTCCTAAAAATAATGTAACTAACATCAACAAGGATGGAAAAATAGAAGAAAAAAGTAGAAAGGTTGATCCAAACAAAATAATAATGACAATGACAATGACAATGACAACGAAAATAATGACAATAATGATAATAATGAATGATAATGAATGGTAAAAATGATAATAATAATGATAATAATATTATTAACAAGCACAACAAAGTAAATATCAACGATAGAACAACAAGAACAAGAACAATAAGAACAACAACAGCTGGTTTATCTCCAAGTTACCTGTTGTGTAAACAGAAGAGGAAACAATGAGAAATGTCCACAATTACTCAACAACAGAAAATATCTAATTATAAAACTATTAAAAAAAAATTCGTAGAATATTTCCGACGACAAACCTAAAAACGGCGGACCAAAAAATTTGACCAAAATCTAGCATATTAAAGGGACTGTAAAGGAAAAATGAAATGGGGTTTAGGCTGAAATCTTATCACTTTAGCTCTCGATCGCGGCCCATGAAAGTTATATCTGATGTTCCTAACTCGAGAAACTGATTTACAACTGTGTCAAATTTATACGAAAATCAATATATATACAATTTTGTATAAAAGTAGTGGGTTTAAAAAGATCAAATTCAGCAAGTAAGCAACCAATCTGAAAACGATGATATCCCAGAGAAAGCTAATTATTACTTAGGTTTACTCTAATTCTAATTTTATATTGGTTATTTCTATTTTTAATAGATTTAATTCATAATATTATTTACACGTCCGTATTACTTGACCAGAAATTCCACCAATGACAGTGCAATAAAGTGGTCACGTGATACAGGCAGAGACACGTGATCAGTATACTGCTCTGCCATTGGTGATAGTTCTGGTCACGTGATTTAAGTTTAAGATTTTCTAAATTTTACATATATGAACTTTCGNCGATCTTCATTAATTTTTTTAAAATTTTGAAAATCCACGAAATTTTTTGTGAAAATCCGCGAATTATTTTTGTTTTGTTTTACGATGTACACAAAGAGAACATGTTCACAATTAATTTAGAAGATGGGCGCGAAGCGCTCTCTAAGGCTAGTTCATTAAATTCTAACACTGGATATCTAATTAATACTTGATCAAACAAAGCTAAATCGCGCATTCCACTTTTACAGGGAAAAGTCGCATGAAATTACGTCTAAAGTTCCTTTAAGAATATTATATCAAATTTGTAACATTAATGAATGTTAAATTATAAGTACTTTATCTAAATTGTAGGACTTAACAAAAACATTTTTACAAAAGATTGGTTGGAAATGCATATGTATGAGAGTTAATGGAAAAAATGCAAAGTTTGTAAACAAACTCTATCCTCCTCTCCTAGTTCTATAATAATAATAATAATAAACCGTCAACCTTAATTCTGTAGAAGAAACTAACCTTTTCATGAACATGCCAGCCGAATATAAAAGATGACCAGCCACACAACGTCAAACAACGGATAAAGGCTACAACGCTAAACACAGAGTTAAATTATAAACTTCGGAGAATAAAAAATATAATAAGAAAATTCTGAAGAAAATTTAAGAATAGTACAATATTTTATTTGTAAAAGTTTCAATAATGTTAAAAAGCGACTTACGATATTGCTACAAAATAAACACTGTATATAAAAAATAATTAAATTTTTTCGGAATCTATTAAAAATTATTGAAAAATTGAAAGAAATTTTTATCTGTTAGATAAAATTAAAATGAAGTTCCCGGTTTTGAATGTGATGATTTGTCGTAAATGATTTTTTTTAATCATCTGTTTATACTTTATAAAGACAGGTGTTCAAATGTTTTCTAGCTTTATATATATCCTATCATTAAAAATACAAATAAGAACAGATATTAAGAAACAAAGATTAAAAATTTGGGGCAGAAAAAAGGTTTTACTTACTTGTTAGGTGATCTCCAAAGTTTAAACAAAGCAGGGATCATAATTAAAAACGTCAATGCAAAAGTCACTAAAAAAACATTTTTGATCTACTCTGTGTGTGTGTTAAGTCTCATAAAAGTTTTTTTTCGTTCCCTTACTATTTTTTAAATTTTTTTTTTGTTTTTCATAAATTTTTGTTTTTTGTTTTTTGGTAATTTTTTTTTTCGTTCGTTTTTGTTTTATAGTTTGTGTTAAATTGTTTTTGCTTTTGTTCTTGTTGTTTTTATTTTTTGGTTTTTGTTTTCTTCCTTGTTTTTTGTTTGTTTCGTTATTGCTTGTTTGTTACTTTGTTTCCTAGTTATTTGATTGTTTGTTCAAAAGTTTCTTTGCTTGTCAGTGTGCTTGTTGATGTTTTTTTATTACCAGTAGGTGGTATTGACGGAAGCACGGTGTGTTGTATATCTTGAACAAGTCCCCCTGAAAAATCATCATGATTAAGTAAAAAAAGTTTATCATGGTTATTGAATAATGAACAGGTGACATGTACAATGTACATAAAATGAATAAATGATCTATGGACCATTGATCATGAAAATAAAATCAATCAACTAAAAAATACCATACAAAAAGAAAATGAGCATAACAATAATAAACATCTTGTCTATTAAAAATGAAAAATGAACATGAACATGAACATGAACATGAACATAAACATGAACACGAGCACGAGCACGAGCACGAGCACGAGCACGAGCACGAGCACGAGCACGAACATGAACATGAACATGAACATGAACATGAACATGAACATGAACATGAACATGAACATGAACATGAACATGAACATGAACATGAACATGAACATGAACATGAACATGAACATGAACATGAACATGAACATGAACATGAACATGAACATGAACATGAACATGAACATGAACATGAACATGAACATGAACATGAACATGAACATGAACATGAAGATGAACATGAACATATCCATGAAGATGAACATGAACAACCTGTCATTGAAGCTCCAGCATCTACTGTTGTATTAAGGTATCCTGCTTTTTTCCCAGCTACAGTTAGAACCTGGATAAACACAAACATCAGACTTAAATCATTGGTGGATGGAACGATGAAAGGATGAAAGGATATAAGGATGAAAGGATGAAAAGATGAAAAGATGAAAGGATGAAAGAATGAAAGAATGAAAAGATGAAAGAATGAAAGGATAAATAAATGAATAGCTCAAGAGCTAAACGAATATTGAAGAAACAAAAAAAATAAAAAATAACTGAATGAACAAAAAGATGAATTTATCAAAAAATTTAATGAATGAATGAAAAAAGTAAGAAAAGATTAATAAATAAATAAATGAATGAATGAATGATTGAATAAATGTATAAATGTAATACATAAAAGAATAAAATGAATGAATGAATGAATAAATAAATGTATAAATGTAATACATAAAAGAATAAAATGAATGAATAAATGAATAAATGAATAAATGAATAAATGAATAAATGAATAAATGAATAAATGAATAAATGAATAAATGAATAAATGAATAAAATAATGTCATGAATGAATCTATAAATGCAGGAATGAATTACTTTATCTACTATATTATAAACAGCCCAGAAGTTCGGAGCCCAGTATGCATGACAAAGTCCTCTACAAAATTAAAAATATGATATAATTCATTTTTACTAAAAATAATATTTATTTTTTAATATTTTTTAATATTCAAATATCTATTCAAATATTCAAATACTAATAATCTGAATTAAACTCCGCTGAATGTGAGATCTAAATTATTTTAAAACTCGAGAAAAAATGTTTTTAAAGAGACTGTGATCGTTTTTGAAGCTTTAAAAGTACAATGGTAACCTTGTAACCTTAATCGTATAAATAGTTTTTCTAGATTTCAAGTATTTAATTCTAATAATTCCCATAGGTTTACCAACTGTTTATATGCGTAAGTCCGTTTTGAAAAGAAATCAAAATTATAAATATTCCACTTTCTAAATTACAAACATTGATATCTAATTCATGCCTGACAGGCAAAGCTTTTCAGGGTACCGTTGTGAATCGGGCATGGCAATCTTTGCACGAAGGGTAACTTACAATTACGCTTACAGTCCCTTTAATCGTCATGGTTTACCGTTTGAAAGGGAAAAGTCTCTGAACCACGGCCTCTATCTGATGAATGAAAGGACCGAATGAAAGACCAAAGATGAACAAAACTAAAAAAATATATCTAACGTTTACTCCTATCTTCTGATAAGTGGGATGTTCAAAAATAATCATTTCCCCAATTTTGGCGAAGTAAAGAAAAAAAAATTAATTTTCAGATTAGTTTTAGTGAAAAAAATACAGAAATTCAAAATTAAATATTTACCCCCCATCAAGATTCTCCTACCCTAGGGGAAAAAATAAAAAAAACACTATATTTTACCTAGAGATCCAAGACTGATAAGCCGCATTGGAGAGAAATTAAATAAAAACATTTTCTTCGGTCTATAATGTAAAAGTATGAAAATAACATTAATACTACTAAATATTAATACCTGCTAATAAAGCAGTATGATCTAAGAAGGAAGATAAAGTATGCAGGAGCAATGTAGAGAATATAAATATTAATATTAATACCTGTTAATAAAGCAATATGATCTAAGAAGGAAGATAAAGTATGCAGGAGCAATGTAGAGAATATAAATATTAATATTAATACCTGTTAATAAAGCAATATGATCTAAGAAGGAAGATAAAGTATGCAGGAGCAATGTAGAGATAAATATGTTTTAGATTCAGCAGTACAGCAAACCAGAATCCTCCTGTGATTATGTGATTATGTGACAAATAGTAAAAATTGGTAGTTTTCATCAAATCTGACTTTTTTTATATAATGATTTTCAACAAGATTTAGTTCTATTGTAATCTGTTAAAAATGTCCCCAATTATAGTCATCTCTCCATAAATTGCTTGGTCTCAAATTAAAAAAAAACCATCTGTTTTTTTTTTTTAACAATAAGTCGCTAATTTATTTGTTTTCAACAAAATGAAGTAGTCAAAAACTATTTATAACACTATTCTTTTGGTTCGCAGTGTTTTGAAGTTTTTGGACAGAATTTTTCTCTGTATGGAGAACGTTCAAGCATTTTAAGATTATATTTTGTCCCGAGCTTTAGCGAGAACCTTCAAGAAACAAAGAAAAATTAAGTCCAAAATCTTTATCTGTATATTATAGCAGCGTGCTGTAAAGTAATCATCGTGTTAAATTTTAAAATTAGCTGCATATTATAAGACCATGGTAGAAAGTTTCGATTGGTTCCCGGATTTTCTCCAAAATTTTTAGAATATTTCTAGAATATCTATTTTTAATTTAAATGAAAATGAAGTTAACTTTTGATTTATTATTTCTGCTTTGTTAGAAAACATTTTAAAAAAAACATCAGTATTATTTCGGCAGGACGTGTTATAATTTCACTTTATAGCACGATGATTACATGTCAATAATAAAATTCACCATGAAGTGAGTATGAATGATAAAGTACAAAATAGTTTCAAAAATTAATTTTAACTGTTGTTTACCTAGTAAATATTGTTCTTCCATTAGTGCAGCAATAGAGAGAAGAAGAATACCAAACAGAAACCCATTGTACTAATTCAAATTCTTTAATACAGGGTTATCCAAAAACTATGAGACAGGAACTGTCCACGTAATTTAAAGCTTTTCGTGTCCGAATCACAGCAGTACATTTAGAACCATTGTGGAAATGACAGTAAAGATATTTCCTTCGTTCTTCTGTTTTGAGAAATAGGTTTGAAGGGTACTATTGTGAATCGGATATGCCATTCACAAACAAATGGAGAATAGCGTTGACAGTTCCTGTAATGACTTAAAACACTTGTTTTTAATATAAGGATTGGACTGGAATTAAGAAAAAAGAACTCCTTAAAGGGAGTGTTAGCAAAAATGAAAGGGGGTATAGGCTTACGCTTTTGATCGCTAATAATCTTCTTTTATCTGTTGTGTCTATAAGGAGAAAATTGTTAATACGACTTATACCTAAGAACGTAGCGTTGATACAAATTCAGAAAGTTGCAAAATTCAACTCTGATCGTAAAATAATCAATTTAATTCCATACATATCATTCAGATATTACAAACAATTGTCATCGATTATTTTTCAACGCATTCGTATTAAGTTAATATTTCATAATAGTTTTTAATGTTGCTACTTTCCGAATTTGTGTGGACGCTACGTTTTTCGGTATGAGTCGTTTTTAACAATTTTCTCCTTATAGATGCAACAGACATATGTAAGATTAGTAGCAATCAAAAGCGCTTATTTTTCACCGTAAGCCTATATCCCCTTTCATTTTTCACGAACACTACCTTTAAAGTTGTCTCTAAGGTTTCGTCTATTATGGGTAACCCTAAAAAACAATTCCGTTACCAAATTCAAACTAAATTATTCTGAACTGAAGGCTTTGCTAACGTAACTGAGGTATATTCTATTTTGCACAGACTTGCACAACTGTATTAGAAAATGTGTAGACTGTTCTTTAATTGACATTATGTAATTAATATGATTTATTTCTTATTGGATCAAATAATAATTTCTCTCCTGTATACTATAAATAATAATATGTACAGGGGTAAATAAAAAAGATTTTAAATTTTGAAAGAATTTATCGCGCTTATACTCACAGTTTCATGATCATGGGTTTAAAAAGTTATTTTTGTTCCGAGGCAGATAAGTAATATTTTTTACTGGAAAAGCAGGGTTCTTTTTTTCGCGGAATTTCATAAAAAATCGTACATAAATAACATTGAGTCAACCATCATTTAGTAGCTATACTTGAACAATACGTTAGAGAAAAGGGGGTTTTAGTTTGAATAAATAGTATATAAATTTTAAGCGATTATTATCTGATTTTGGTAGTTCCTATCCTACCTGAAAATGAATATGGTCGACCAGGAACAGTCCAAAATTTGACAAGAGCAGAAAGAAGACGGTCGTATCTTTACTCACACCTAGAACACGTTGGCCAATTTTAGGAGCTATGTTTCCAAGTTTAAGAACCATGTTACCTCCAATATTCCCAAGCTTAAGAACCATGTTACCTCCAATAATACCAAGTTTAAGAACCATGTAACCTTCAATATTCCCAAGTTTAAGAACCATGTTACCTCCAATATTCCCAAGCTTAAGAACCATGTTACCTCCAATAATACCAAGTTTAGGAACCATGTTGCCTCCAATATTCCCAAGTCAAGGAACCATGTTACCTCCAATATTCCCAAGTTTAAGAACCATGTTACCTCCAATATTCCCAAGTTTAAGAACCATGATACCTCCAATAAATTCCTAAGATTAGGAACCATGTTACCTTCAATATTCCCAAGTTTAAGAACCATGTTACCTCCAATATTTCAAAGTTCAGGAACCATGTTACCTCCAATATTTCCATTTAAGGAACCATGTTACCTCCAATATTTCCAAGTTTAGAAACCAAGTTACCTCCAATATTCCCAAATTTAGGAACCAAATTACCTCCAATATTACCAAGCTTCAGAAGTTGTAAATTGTTCGAGCACTTTATTGCTCCAGCGAGAAAAACAAGATCTGTTACTATCACCGACAATCTTGACAGATTTTTATATTTTAGAATAAATAAATAAAAAGATTAACTATTTTCAAATGTTTAGTTATATCAATGTCTGTCTGGCTGGTCACCAACAGTATTGAAAGAAATTTAAAGGGACTGTAAGCGTAAATTCAAGTGACCCTTCATGCAAAGATGGCAATGCCAGATTTACAAGTATGGGTAAGAACTCCATGTTTTTGTTTGTTTAAGCTGTTTATTTCTTCTGCAGAATCCTGCAAAAGAGACTCGGCATTTCTAGCTGATAGGAAACTATTTAAGAAATTCACAGAAATAAAGACTTTTTGAGTCAGAAAAACGGCGTTATCTTCCACATTATTATTCAGATCCAAGTTTCAAGGGTACCGTTGCAAATCGGACACGTCACGTTGTAATAATTGCATAGAGGGTCATTAAATTTAAGCTTACAGTCCCTTCAATAGAAAGTTATTTAAATAACAACAAGGGAAATATGACGAAGAAACAAAATACAAATAGAAAAATCTTTCCTTTGAAATAGAATAGTATTTTCGGATGAATAATCTAGGTTTCCAATCCGTAGCATCTCAGGATCGAAGTATACAGCAACCTAGTTATATTTAGAAATGTTTAGTTTTCTTGAAAAATCCCCCCCCCCCCACCATCTCAATCTCCCAAAAGTTAATATGTTATTGGTCTAAGTCAGCTTAAATTTAAAAAATTATATTTGTTTGCATCTGAAAGAAAAGATAAAAAACGAATAAGAATTAAATTTTTTCATGGTGCAACATTTTTTTTAGCAAATAAATGTTTCAAAATCTTTTAGGAGCATAAGGTAGTGTTTTCTGAAAAAGGCACCAAATTCCATTCAAACTTTTCTCCTGGTCCCTAGACCTACCTTTGACATAATGAATTCAAACCAAGCGAAGAGTGGAGGATAGTCTAGGGTCCATATTGAAGTATTCTCCAGATACCACTTTGATACTGGTAGACTAGAGGTGATAGCCAACCAGTTTCTGTGCACCTATTGTTGTTATAGTTTTCAACGTTGTTATTATTATTCGTGTTATTATGGTTAATGTTATTTCTATTTTAAATATTACATAAATATAATTTTCAATATTATTATTATTATTTTCTTTATCAATCATAATGGTTAAAACGATGTAAAACAAAATATAATTCACATCTGCATACAAGATATCTTTGTTTTCTACTTGAAAATATTGACGACATTGAAACCAGTCATAATAAGTTTTGAAAATTTGAAAAAGACCGGACTTGAAAAATTGATTCAAGAACATAACATTATGGACATTGTTTGTTTAAATGTTTATCGTAAAAATTTGATGTTACTTCAGTGCAATTAGCTTTTTAAAACAATGTTCTAAAGAAATCATCATGTTATACTACTTCACACAATTAATATCGTTGCTGCTACTGTATTCCCTGGGTTCCTAGCTTTCGTTTGATAAAGCCTTTGTTAAAACAATTTCATTTTGGAGGTCATTTTAGGTCATTAGAGGTCGTTAGGAGGTCATTAGAAGTGCAAACACTGGATTTGTTGCTGCTACTGTATTCCCTGGGTTGCTAGCTTCCGCTTGATATGCATAAAGCCTTAAAACACTTTTATTTTGGAGGTCATTTGAGGTTGTTGGAGGCCATTAGCAGGTCAAACACTGGATCCGTTGCTGCTACTGTATTCCCTGGGTTCCTAGCTTTTGTTTGATATGCATAAAGCTATAGTTGAAAGTGAAACAGTTTCTATTTGTTGGGGTCATTAGTGGTCATTCAAATTCAATTTGATTTTATTTCAAGAAATTCGAACACTAATTAGGCGTGCAGCCAAAAAATTGGAAGGTTTGTACAAAAAATTAAGGCAGGGTCCCCCCCCCTTCAGCAAATAGGACATCTCCACCATCCCCTTTGAGCAAACATTGTGTTTCTGATTGGCTGACCTCAAAATCCGTGGATTTGTATGAGGGCATGAAGAGGAGCTTAAGGGAGGAGACCACCAGGCTGGTGGCCAGGTACATTGTTCTGAAACACAGGATTCATAGAGTACATAGTGCCGTACATCATTGGGTATATTTATACTTTTAGGTACATCATTCTGAAACCCAAGTTTCATAGAGTACATGGTTTAGTACATCAATATATGTATACAGACAAGTACATCATTTAAACCCCACGTTTCATTGAGTACATGGTTTAGTACATAAATATATGTTTTGTGTACTAACAAGTACATCATTCTGAAACCCAAGTTTCATGTAGTACATGGTTTAGCACATCAATATATGTATACAGACAAGTACATCATTTTAAAACCCAGGTTTCATTGAGTACATGGTTTAGTACATCAATATATGTATTGTATACTAACAAGTACATCATTCTGAAACCCAAGTTTTATGGAGTGCATGCTGCAGTACATCAATTTGAATATGTGTACTTTCAGATACATATTTCTGAACCACTGGTTTCAAAGAGTACATGGTTAAGAACATCAATACATGTATATGTATACCTAGTTGTACAAAAACAAAAGATTGAGTAAATAAAACTATGGTTTCTTAGAATGCTTAGGATCCATTTAATTTGATGCGGATCCGGATCAAGGATTCGCACTGGAAAAAATGGATCCGGATCTAGGTTATTTCTACTAAATTTACTGAATTTTTCAACAAAGCCGAATTTTCAAATTTGTCTTCTTTTCGCTTAGTTTTGTGCTAAAACTTGATGAACCATTCAGAAATCAGGTATGTTTTTAATCTCTCTTTGTACAATAGTTCAGATTAGGGTTTTGAGAGTAACTTTTTTTAAATGCAGTTTTTGATAGATATTTTCCCCCTTGGCTCCGGATCAGTGGATCCGCTTATTTTTGCGGATCCGGATCCATGATGCCAAATCTTTCGGATCCGGATCCTAAGCGCTGTTTTATTAGTATCACAGGGTTTAAATTATGCAAGATATAAAAAAATAAAAACTAGATGTTTGTATTACCATTTATATAAATCATAACGTTAAAATCAAGAAGAAGGTACAGAAGTTTTAGGTTGAAATAAATGCTGCAAGGATGTACATGCATAGATATTTATTTTATCATGTACTATTTACATTGTACTCTACCTATTTTGTACTTTAAGGCTATGGAGTATTTTCTAATTTGAGCAAGAAGATTACGTTGTTAACAACAAATCTGCGCAGCATTTGCGCGTTAGTTTCGAAGATTTTACAAAATACGTAAACGATCAAATTTAAATATCAGTCTAACATATGTTTAGAGGATTCCGTGCCATGTCTTATCAGTGTAACATATGTTTAGAGGATTCCGTGCATGTCTTATCTCTCAATTGTGTTTAATGTTTTTGGGAGGACAAGTTTCTGTTTTATTTAAAAAGTCGTATTTTATTTGATCAATTTAGGTCGAATACATGTTTATAATCTTCAAATTCTTTATTTTTGAATTTCTCTGATCTCAATCCTGCTCCGATCCATCCTAAGAGCAATCAAATCATGTAAAAACAAATATTGTGGTTTGAAGTTTTCATAAAAATTACATATTTACTATTTTTTCCTCTCTAATTTTAGTTCTCTTAACAGTCCTTTGAACAAATTTAAACAATTGATTCAGGCTTAAAGGGAGTGACCAGTTATGTAAGATAGTTATTATTTTTTTTTAAAGATCTGTAAATCCTGAGTTTAAGCGCAAATTCGACGTTCAAAACTCTACTCTTAAGAGTGGATACGTTTTCAGAATGATTTTTTAAAAAAATTATTAAATTAAATAATTACAGATCTTTAAAAAGTTTAATATGTCTCAAATGAATCCGAAAGAAGTTTTCCACAACACTGCATACTCAGTTCAACTATCTAACATAGCCGGTCACTCCCTTTAAAGGGACTAAACACGTAATTTTTAGTGACCCTTCATTTATGAATAGAGTAGCATAATTGGTTCACATTGATTTTATTAAACTCTGTAAATCAAGAATGACTAAAGTATTCACGTTTTCTTTATGAAAATAGATTATTTTAAACTGACGTTTCTCTACATCAGTGGCTTGCGCATATATTTCCATGCAATGAAAGTTTTAAGAATAACGTTTTGTATTGGCCCTCTCTTAGAAGTGGAGGATCACGTGAAACTACGAGGACAGTCCGCTTTATGAAAGAATTGTAATTTTAAAAATGATTGATAGATTGGTTAATTGATTAATTGATTGATTCCTATCAAGAACATGAATGTCAGTGGCACCCTGGGGTGATATAAAGAAGAACTGTCCACCCTCCTATAATATATGATAAATAAACATTAATAATAATGATAATAAACAATCAACAATCATTCCGTAGAAGTCAATTCCTTTCAAAAATAACCACAGAAAGACGGACATTTATCACATTAACAAAGCAAAAGCAATCAGATTTAAGGGTTTTCTACTTCCCAATCAAGGGGGGGGGGGGAAGGTGCTGCCCCCAGTCCTGTATAAAAAACTGATTGAACAATTGGTTTCTTTATTCATTAAACTCATTCAGACATGTTTACTTTATGCCTCAATTTCTCAATTTTTTAAACTTAATTATTTGCCACTTGATTATAAGTGATATGGGTGAGTGGCCAGGAGTTCAACATGATACTTTGACTTTAAGTTAAATGACAATAAAAATAATAATAATATTCACAGTTTAAAAACTGATTTGGTTGATGAAACAATGATTGGTGAATTACTAAATAGATGGATGTAATAATTTATGAGATTTTAAATGGAGAACTATTTAGATTTAAAATTAAACCTTCTGTTTGAGCGCAGCTTTGAGTAGTTCAGCAGAGATTTTTTTCCTATTCACGGGATCCAGATATACATCCCACTCATCCAGTGCTCTACAGTACACATAGTATAGCAAAAGTACAGCTACAGAGTTTATACAGTACATACAGTACAGTTACAGAGTTTATTTAGTACATACAGCACAATTAAATAGTTTATACAAAATTTTAAGCACAGTTAGAGTTTATAGAATACAACTGTTACAGAATTTATACAGAACATACAGTACAGTTACATAGCTTTTACAATACATTAGTACATTAGGTACAGTAAGAGGTAATACAGTACACAGAGTACAGTGACAGAGTTTATACAGAACATTTAGTACAGTTACAGAGTTTAAACAGTACATACAGTACAGTTACATAGATTATACAGTACATTTTGTGATTCGTATTTTCTTTTTACAGGGTTCAAATTTACATCCCACTCATCCAGTACATATAAATTTGATACAAAGTATATAATAGTACATAAAGTACATACACATTATGCATAATTCATGTACACAATAACTGTTCACAGGGAAAGATAGAAAAAATATGCAAAACAAAAGCGAAATAAAAAGCAATAAACAGTCTAATCGTTACAAATAAAATTTGTTTATTTTATTTCCGAAAATCTCAAAGATGATATACTAAGAGACATTTAAACATAAAAATCATATATTCTAACAGACAGGGTTACCCACAAAGGATGAGACTGTAATGACGACATGAAACTCATATAACATGACAAGGTTAAATTAAGTTTTCAGCTTTGTGAGGTAACCCTGTAGTAACCATATTAACTGAAGACTGGTTCAGCAATTTACCTACAAGACCCATTAAACTATTGAATAAAAAGACGTATTCACTATTCAAACCATAATATGAGTATTTGTCTGATAGGGGTGTATATAATTCCATTTTTTTATTCTTTCCCCTTCCCCTCAGTTTTTTTTGATTTCCCTTCCCAAATTCGATAATTTGTGGATTTGTGAAATTTTTTAGAAACTGTTTGGAAAAATTATTGAGTAATGAGTATTTTTCCGTAGTTCCCTATATTCCTCTTTTCTCTCAACATTCCTCTTTCTCTCAATATTCGTCTTTCCTCTCAACATTCCTCTTCCCTCTCAACATTCCTCTTTCCCTCTCAACCTTCCTATTTCCCTCTCAACATTCCTCTTTCCTCTCAACATTCCTCTTTCACTATCCTTGTGATCAATGTGAGAAAGTTATTACTTAAAAAAGAATATTTGAAAAGACACATGAAAACCTCAATTCAACTATAATAGTTTATTTTTAGTTCTCGTACCCGAGACTGCGGTGTATTCTTAACAGACTAAAGGCTACAAACCTCCGGACAAATCCACATTGTAAGTTAACTTTCAATTTACATTAGTTTAAATCTGAAATATATATAAGATAATCAATCAGTGCCAATTGAGATGAGCCGAAGGAAGAGTTTATGCTTGCTCTTATGTTTATAGCAAACTTGCCTGAGCTGAAAAGGTTAGAATGGGAGGTCTCGCTGTATATTATTATTACAAAGGATTCTGCTACCTGAAAGGTGTTCTCACAACACTCCACATAGAGACTATAAGACACATTTGGGCGTATGATTTCTCTCCTCCAGACAGAGTATCCAGGTCCTAGAATAACATAGCTTAGTTCTTCTTTTACAAGCAACTGATCATAGTTCTACTATTTTAAATAAGATACTAATTATAATTCTACAGTCTTGGATAAACTACTAATCATAGTTCTAATGTAATTAATAAGATACTAATTATAATTCTACATTCTTGGATAAACTACTAATTATAGTTCTACTGTCTTTGACCAATTGCTAGCTATAGTTCTACTGTATTTGACCAATTGCTTGCTATAGTTCTATTGTCTTTGATTAACTATTAATCATAGTTCTACTGTCTTTGATAAACTACTGATCATAGTTATACTGTCTTTGATCAATTGCTAGCTAAAGTTTTACTGCCTTTGATAAACTACATATCATAGTTCTACTGTCTTTGACCAATTGCTACCTATAGTTCTACCGTCTTTGATAAACTACTAATCCTAGGTCTAATATCTTACATAAACTTCTAATCATAGTTCTACTGTCTTAAACAAACTACTAATAAAGTTTTACTGTCTATGACAAACCACTTATCAAACAAAGCGGAGTTTTACTAAACTTTAAAAACTTTTACAATTTCTAGACAGGTAAAATGCAAAATATTCAAACAAAATCAAAAAAATCTTACTCCCTCTGATAATGATTTATTCACCTGATATATTACTTCGTTTTCTTCATTCCTAAACTTTATAAAGGCTTTCTTGGTGGCAACGTCTATCGTCAATTTCATACTGCCTTCAAATCCCTGAAAAAAAAATTTAATCAAATCAAATCTCTGAACAAATATAACAAATCCCTAAAATCAATGCAAATCCTTAAATAAATTCAGAATCAAATAAAAATAAAGAATTAATTAAAATAAAAAAACAGATTAAAAATAAAATCAGATCAGATCAAAATCAAATTCAAGTTTTAGTTTATATTTAAGATCGGATTATTATCAAAGAGATAGATGAATATTGAATATTATTATTAATATAAATTAATTGTGTTCAATTTTGAGAATTAAGTTGTGAGTGCATGGTTAATTGGATTAGGTTCAAACATTATTCTCAAGTTAAAAATAATTCTATGGTCCCTTTATATGGTCCCTACTCCCTTTATATGGTCCCTTTATATGGTCCCTACTCCCATTATATGGTCCCTTTATGATGATACCCAAATCTTTAGTTTATTACTTTTGATTATAACTTTAAAATTTTTTAAAAATATGGAATAACTTTTTAATTTACAAATAGAGAATTATTTATTAACAGATATATGTATATACTTTGCTTGTCTGTCTGTTTGTCTGTCCGTTTGTATCCAATAAACGTAAAATTCGGTCGGGCCCACAATTTTTGAGGCAATTCACATGACCCCAGGGAAAGGTTTATGGATGCTCAAAATTTCAAAAATTGGAATAAGTAGATTTTTGTAAAATTTTGAAAATTCACAAAAATATTATTAAATCCAGAAACTTTTTTTTGATTTGTTTTATTTTGTACAAAGAGAAGATGCTTTCAGATAAATCCGAAAGATTGATTTCCGAATAAATCGATAGTTTCAAGATTTATTAAATTGAGTTTTATTTTTCTTTAATTGTTAAAAGTTTTCTTACCAAATTGAAGTCCTGTGCTAAAACGTTAAAGTTTCTAACAGCCATTTGAACAATGTATCTCCTAAAAAAAATATTTTAAGCAAAATTTGTTCACAATCATGATGTTTAAAAAGTGCGGAGGACTTAGCGTTCTCCTGTATGCCATTTTTAAATTATTCAAAATAAACCACAGGAGGAGAGGGGGTGGAACCCCCCCTCCACCAACCTTGATAGGCTAAACTAAAAGTCTGTGAGGCTAAACTGAAAGTGTGTGAGGCTAAACTAAAAGTGTGTGAAGCTTAACTGAAAGTGTGTGAGACTAAACTAAAAGTGTGTAAGGCTAAACTAAAAAAGTGTGAGGCTTAACTAAAAGTGTGTGCGACTAAACTAAAAGTGTGTGAGACTAAACTAAAAGTGTGTGAGACTAAACTAAAAGTGTGTGAAGCTGAACTAAAAGTGTGTGAAGCTGAACAAAAGTGTGTGAGACTAAACTAAAAGTGTGTGAGACTAAACTANAGTGTGTAAAGCTGAACTTCTTGTGAGAAACTAACCTTACGATAACCATCTGACACTTCCGTTCGCAAGCTTGATTCTCCAAAATTTTAATATTGCGTTTGAGATCATTCAGATTTTTTGACATTATGGCATTCATCTTAAGCAAATCCTAGACGTTTAAATGTAATTATTCATGGGAATGTAAGCGTAGTTTCAATTGGCCCTCCATGCAAAGATGCCCAATTCACTAAGGTACCCTTCAAGGCTTTGTCTGATAAAGCATGAATTGGTTGTTAATGTTCACAATTTTAAAAACTTTTCAATTGTGGTTACTGGTTTCTCTACATGCGTGACTTGCGTATTTCTACTATAGGAAAATTATCAGAATTAAACACTTTCTACCTTAAAAAACTATACTATATCTTTCACACTATTAATAGAAGAATGGTTTAAAGTGCACCTTTGTGCATCTTTGCATAGAGGGCATTTTAAATAAGGTTAAATACAGTCCCTTTAGGTTAACCCAGCCTCCAGAATATACCTGCATACAATGAGTATTTCAGGCATATATATTACAAACTTTTGAGTAGGCTGAATTTTGGTAGGCTACTATTTACCAATAATTTTGGATCTGAGGTCAATGAACCCGTGAGGTCAAAATATGGAGGTCAGTGACATTGATTTAAATTTTTAGATTCTTTACATTCGCAAATAATCAATGCCACCTTTTTGCAATTTAAAAATCAATGCCCCCCTGTTGAGTCCGAACGCTAATTTCTGTTGAATCCAAACTCTAATTCTTGAATTAGTGCGGATATAGAACTATTGTTCACGTTTTTCTCGAATTGTCTTTCTTCGGTCAACACAGAGCTTGTTCGTACTTAGTTAATAAAATATCTCGCCTCTCGGATATTCGTTAAAAGTTAATTCGCTTAGAATCGAAATAAATCCAACCTAAAACCGAATCTGCATGTTCATTTTTCGTAAATAGTTCGTAGTTTGTGTTTCTTTCTCTTTGTAACTAATATTGTTTGAAATTCGCGTAAAAGTTTATTTGCAAATCAAAGAATATTAATTTTTTGCGAAACAGCTAAAAACGTAGCAAAAAATTTCTTTTCTTGAACAATGTCAAATGAAGAAAAATCAAATTGGAGACTATATGCCTGAATTTATACGTTATATGACTTTTTTTTAAAAGGAAATTTAGTGTATGAATTATCAATGTGCATAATTTTTTAAAGTATATACACAATAAATAGTGGATACTTGGAGAGTTTGATTCAATTTGGAAGTAAATCTTTTTTTCTAACCATCAAGAATTAGTAGGAATTTATTTAGAATTTTTTTAAGAATTTATCATTTTTGAATTTTTAATCTTATAAATTGGATGCAGTTGATACAGACAGATTCTGATTTGATTTTACTTCTTGTAATCGTTTCTTTCGTTCCTTTTCCTTCTGTTCACTGCCCCTGATTCTGATTATTTTTAAAGAAAATAAAAATTTGTCAAAACCAGTATGTATTGGGACACTCGTGACTCTGCTTCATTGTAGTTGTAGTAATTTACAGTTTTCAAATCAAATCAAATTAGGCGTTTGGGGATGTCCTACACCACACTACAAAATTGAAGTGACTATACTAAATCAATAATAAAGTGAGGTTTTATTGTCTAACTTAAGAATGCTTGACTTCACAAGCTGATTTAAGGTTAATGCAGTGCTCAATCCATACTCTGATATATTTTCTCCTGTTCAATTTTCTTTTTTCTTCTTGTTTCTTGTTTGTAGGTTTCTGCAATTTTACTCTGAGTTCCATGTCTAAATCCTAGCTGAGGGCTGAGGTGTAGAAATTGGATGTTTGGGAGGTTATATTAATTTAGAAATATATATTTGAAGTGATGTTAATTGTAGTTACAGTGATCAGAAAACAGAGATGATTGTAGTCTTTTTTATGTTATCCTACCTTCGGAGAATAGTTAGAGAATTTGGCAGAACATCCCTGGAAATACAGTCAAGATTAAACACCAGTCCCTAGGAACCGAATCCCTTGGATCCCCATAAATTCGATCCCTGGATCCGGATCCGAAAAAACATGTGGATCCAGGTGTCAAAATATCAACTGAAACATCACAGAAATACTGTTTTGCAAACAAAAACATCTTTAAGGGATTGTAAGCGTTATTTCAAGTGACCCTCATGCAATGATGACAGTACCCTTAATCTGATCAAAAATATGGAAGATAGGCTTTTTTTCTAACTTGAAAAAAGTTTAATTCTGCTAATTTCTCCATCGCTTCTTTTAAGCAAGAAATATGCATGTTATGTTTGCAAAGAACGCGCAAATGAAAAAAAACGGTTAAGAGAAACAAAACATGGATATTCAATTAATACTTAATCAGCCAAAGCTTATAATGGTACCGTTGTAAAGCGGGCATTGACATCACTGCCTTAAGAATCACTTGAAACTACGCAAACAGTCCCTTTAAGATTGAAAGATTAATAAAATATTTTCGATAAAAATATTAATGCGCTAGACCTGGATCCATTTTTACATAACACCTTTTAAATTACTGATAACCAACTGCTGATACAAATGTTTAAAATGCTTTTAACCTAATTCAAACTTTTAAAACAGGACATGTGAACAACGGCCCTCTTATAGATATGCTTCTATCGATCGATCTACATTATTCTGGGCCAGTGTGCATGAAATTAACTGGGTGTGCTTTACAGCTGTTAAAGCTGAGTGGAACCTTTAGTGGAGAAATAATTATTTAAAATTCTTAATTAAAGGCCATTTCAAGCATCTCTGTCACTGTTTTTAAGGAAATTTAAATTTTTTTGTGACGAAGTTTGCAAAGTTTCCTGTGTGAGCCAAAACTAGCAGATAAAAATAAATTTCCTCTTTTTCCTCCTTACTTCTTTTTTTCCCTTCCCTCTTCCCCTGTTTCCAAGTTCAGTTTTACCCTTTTCCTTTTCCCTTTCACCATACTACTTCAAAGACAACACCTCTGAAATAAATGAAAACCATTTTATGGCTAAGGTTTATCCGCCATTAGAAAAGGCTGGCTGATGTGAGCTGGGCCCGGATTTGCAAACTGTAATGGATCATATTTAGCGGAACCAACACAAAGTATTAAAGTTTTTTTTTATTTGCTGAAAAGAAGAGTCATCAAGAGAAAAAATGAAGAATGAAGGAGGAAAAATGGATGACAAGAACAATTAAAATATGTATGATCTGTAACCAATAATAAAAAATATAAAAAAATAAATTAATGTTGAAGAAATCTAAAGTTTTTATTCTTACCTTTTGCTTCTTGAATTTTTCCATAATTACATCTGATGACTCGGACTTAGCAGCTTTCAACATTTCAAGCTTTGCTAAAAAAAATAATTAAATTGGAATTTAGGAGGGGTAAAAATAAATTCGATTACCTAAGAAAATCCCCCCACCCCCCCACAAACAATCCGGAGACCGAATATTCTCCTTCAACATTTTCAAGAAGACAAAATTTCTTTTAAATTATTTGTCTAAAAAATTACCTTGAAGCTTTTCGAATGTTTCCTCTGGTTCCGGCAAATCTTCCTCTCCATACTTATTTCGAAAATTCTTAAACAAAAAAAGAAACTTCTTTGACAATTTTGCGGTTTAAAGGATCAGTCATTGTAATTTCAAGTGACCTTCCATTAAAAAAAGAAGCGGGGCATGCCCGATCTACAATTGTACTTTGGAAACCTTTCTTATCAATAGCTTGTGTTCAATTCTGCAGCAAAAATGCGCATGTCACTTTTATCGAGAGACCACAATTGAAAAATATAAGTTTTCAAAATTATAAACATCGATATCTAATTTATGCTTGATCAAACAAAGCTTTGAAGGGCACGGTTATGAATTAGGCCTGCCATACTATGCATGGAGGGTCACTTAAAGGGAGTGTTCGCGAAAAATGAAAGGGGGTATAGGCTTAATGCGATAAAAAAGCGCTTTTGATCGCTACTAATCTTACTTCTATCTGTTGCGTCTATAAGGAGAAAATTGTTAGAAACGACTCACACGGAAGAACGCAGCGCCCATACAAATTCGGAAAGATGCAACATTCAACTCGGATCGTAAACAAATCAATTTAATTCCAAACAAATCATTCAGATATTACAAACAATAGTAATCGGTTATTTTTCGACGCATTCATATATAGTTAATATTTCATAATATTTTTGATTTTGTTTTTTTTAGATTAATTTTCGCTGGCGCTGGATTTTCGAACATTCCTGGAAAATATGAAAATGTCGTCTTCATTATCAAAAATCCTCGAAACAGGAAAAAATGTAACTCTCAAATCATGAAAAATACAAAATATTATGAAATATCAACTATTTACGAATGCGTCGAAAAATAATCGATGACTATTGTTTGTAATATCTGGATAATTTGTTGGGAATTAAATAGATTTTTTTACGATCCGAGTTGAATGTTGCATCTTTCTGAATTTGTATGAAAACTACGTTCTTCGGTGTGAGTCGTTTTTAACAATTTTCTCCATATAGACGCAACAGATAGAAGTAAGATTAGTAGCGATCAAAAGCGCTTTTTTATCGCATTAAGCCTATACCCCCTTTCATTTTTCGCGAACACTCCCTTTAAATAAACGTTTTATTACCTCAAGGCCGTCATTCAACTTTTCAACACAAACGGATTTCTCCTTCTTTAGTTTCTCAACTCTGAAAAAAGTACAATATTCAAACTTTAATAAATCAATATTAACCCCCCCCCCCCTCTACCCATCACTGCTTGGTATGTTTTATAAGCTGTAATTGCTTAATTGGAATATTATTTGGAGAAAAAAACCCAGCGGTAGCAGTTAAACGAGCAGTTGAGACACAGCTCAGACTATTAGCAAATAAGAATAAGAAAGAAACCGGTTTGCAAATTTAAAAAAAATATTTTTAACTAATGAAACACATATTTTATTATATTACTTTTGTTTCAACCGCTATAGAAATACTAATGTAAAACTCTTTTTCCGTCAACCGCTGGAAATGCAAGTCTTTATTTACTTATATTTCCCTTTAACGGTAAAATATTTAACATTTTATATATATATTATTGTCTTCAACTGCTCTAAACATACTTTTTCATGGCAAACAAATATATGTAAAAACGTGAATCCCAGTGGATTTGGGTGAAAATATTCACATAAAGATTTTAACTTCAGACGTTAAGTAAATTTTTAATTAGGGGAAAAAATCGAATTTTTCTTTTTCTGAACTGCGCCGTAGAGTCTTAATCAGATCTCAATTTAAGTATCTTTGATTTTTAGGGGGGAAAAAAGTTTGAGTACAAAATATGTCCAATTTTTCACTCCCCAGTTGTATTAACAATTATACTTTGTCTAAAATAAGCTTACTGTGTCTTTTTCCCTTTCTCAAAAGAAGTCAACTGGTCGATACTCTTTTCATTCATTGCCTACAAGATAAAACCATTGCTTAGGATCAAGATCAGAAACGATTGGATAAACAATATTTTGGCTTCCTGGTTTCGGGTCCGCAGAAATATGCGGATCAAAACAGCAACTAATAACTTTTGGACTTTTATTTTAAAAAACAGCGATTCTTAAAGAAATATCTATAATCTGGATCTGGATCTGGATCTGAATCTGAATCTGAACCTGGATCTGGATCTGGATCTGGATCCGGATCTGGATCTGGATCTAGTCTAATCAAGGCGGATCCAGATCCGCATCAAAATTAAATGGATCCAAAGAACTGGACAAACATAACAGAAAAACGTAAAAACAGAAATCTATTAAATCGATTAAAATTTAAGTCACCTTATCAATCCGTAGTTGCTCTAGATCTGTCTCCATTCTAACCAGACTCTGGTTACTTTTCCTTAATAAACAATAAAGTAATTAACCAATTAATCAAGTAACTCTTTAATGCCAGATTAATAAAGTAACTCTTTCATGCGAGATTAATAAAGTAACTCTTTAATGAGAGATTAATAAAGTAACTCTTTAATGAGAGATTAATCAAGTAACTCTTTAATGAGAGATTAATAAAGTAACTCNGTAGGATCTAGATAGTAGATAGATAGATAGTTAGATGTAGTAGGATTTAGATAGTAGATAGATAGATAGTCAACCAATTAATCAAGTAACTCTTTATTGAAAGATTAATCAATGAACCAATCAATCAAGTAACTCTTTAATTAGAGATTAATCAATTTACCAATTAATCAAGTAACTTTTTAATGTGCGATTAATCAACCAACCAATTAATAAAGTAACTTTTTAATGAGAAACTAATCAATCAACCAATTAATCAAGTAACTCTATAATGAGAGATTAACAATCAACCAATTCAGCTAGTTTATCAATTTTTCTATTGTTCTCTTTATCTGTTTATCTTTTGTTCTCCTTATCTGTTTATCTACTGTTCTCTTTATCTGTTTATCTATTGTTCTCTATCTGTTTATCAGTTTATCTTTTTTATCTTTGTCTGTTTATCTATGGTTCTGTTTATCTGTTTATCTATTGTTATCTTTACATATTTATTTATTGTTTTCTTAATCTGTTTATCTATTGTTCTCTTTGTCTGATTATCTATTGTTCTCTTTATCTGTTTATCTACTGTTCTCTTTTTCTGTTTATTTGCTTATCTATTGTTCTCTTTATATGTTTATCTATTGTTTGCTGTATCCGATTATCTATTGTTCTCTTATCTGTTTATCTAATGCTTTCTTTATCTGTTTATCTAATGTTATCTTTATCTGTTTATCTATTGTTCTCTTATCTGTTTATCTATTGTTTTTTATCTGTCAGTTTATCTAATGCTTTCTTTATCTGTTTATCTAATGTTATCTTTATCTGTTTATCTAATGTTCTCTTTATCTGTTTATCTATTGTTATCTTTATCTGTTTATCTATTGTTCTCTTTATCTGTTAACTATTGTTCTCTTTATCTGTTTATTTATTGTTCTGTTTATCTGTTTATCTAATGTTCTCTTTATCTGTTCCTCTGTTGATTTGTTGTCCTCTTTATGTTATATCTTTTTCTGTAATCCCCTTCATTTGTATTTTAATCCTAATCTTGGTACTTGGCTCAAGTATTCAATGATGATTCAATCAAAGGCGTTAAAGAAAGAAATGCGCAACGTTATTGTTAACATCTCTTGTACCTGATCATCGCAAGAGAAGCAATTCGTTTATTCTTTTTTGATACTATTGTATTCAAATCTACAGTTAGTTTCTCCTTCTGATCCGTCGTCTCTAGGCATCTATAATGAACAAAATTACTAAACAAATATTTTAACAGTATTTTTAGTAATATTTTATCAACAATTTACGACTATAGTGTGTACATTAGAAAAGCATTTATTACTAAGACGGGCAAGTCATGCGGGCAAATAAAGTCATGAGCAGAGATAATAAAATGGTCAATGGGATATAAAGTGGTCAGGCGGTTGTTAAACAAAGTAGTTTGGCGGGCAAATAAATTGGTCAGGCATGCGATAAACGAAGTGGTCAGGCGAGTTATTAAAGTAGTAAGGTGGGATAATAAAATGGTGAGGCGGGACAATAAAGTAGTCAGGCGGGACAATAAAGGAGTCATGCGGGACAATAAAGTAGTCAGGCGGGACAATAAAGGAGTCTGGTTACCTGTTTGTAAGGGCTGTAATCTCCTGATTCAGTTTATCCAAACTATCAGCTTCCTCAGGACACCGTCTAAATATCATTAATCAAAAAAGGGTTTAAAATCAAGAATATTCATTTCCTGAAATTTAAAATTAAAATTTGCTATGACCTATGCTATTCCATCAAACAACACCAATAAAATTCCATTCCAATAATAGGTTTTAATCTAATTAGGATCTTAAATGTATATAAAACGATTTCAATAAAATATGGCATTTTTTAAACTAATAAGGGGTATTCAAATTCAATTCCTTATTAGTCTCTGTTACATTAATTTGCAAGTTACATTTGTAGAGAACCACATTTGTAACTATCTCATTGTAGGATTTCACATCATATAATATCTCATAGAAACTATCTCATATAAACTAAGATTTCTCATCATAGTAACCATCTTATTGTAACTGTCTCATTGTAACTATCTCATTGTAGGATTTCTCATCATATGATATCTCAAAGTAACTATCTCATTGTAACTGTCTCATTGTAACTATCTCATTGTAGGATTTCTCATCATATGATATCCCATAGAAACTATCTCATTGTGGGATTTCTTATCATATTATATCTCATAGTAACTATCTCATTGAAATTAAGATTTCTCATCATATGATATCTCATTGTAACTGTCTCATGTAAACTAAGATTTCTCATCATATGATATATCATTGTAACGGTCTCATGTAAACTAAGATTTCTCATCATATGATATCTCATTGTAACTGTCTCATGTAAACTAAGATTTCTCATCATATTATATCTCATGGTAACTATCTCATAGTAACTATCTCATTGTAACTAACTCATTGTAACTATCTCATTATAACTATCTCATTGTAGAATATCTCATTCATTCTCAATTAGAAACAGGTTTAAAGGTACTGTTGTAAATTGGACACGACCCTCTAATCCGAAGTTCAAAATTACGTCTACAGTCTCTTTACATACAATAACAAATTTGATAAAATAAGGAAATTCAAAATGGCGCTTACTCTAGCTCCTTGAGTTGAGCGATCAGTAGACTATTATCCGTGAAATGTCGAGTTTTATTCTGTCTCATTTGTGTCCACACCTATGCTCAAACAATTAGAAAACGTATTAGAATATTTTCACTGTAATCTGTTCCGTAATTTTGACGTGAAATCAGCTCTTTTACAAATATCTTCAAAAAGGGAAAAAATAAGGTCGAATAAATATTATTTATCCCAGAACCCAAAAAGTTCCTAAAAATGTTTTTATTATTTGAGTGCTGACTGATTATCTGCTTGTAAATGCACAATGAATGTATAATTAGTTGAGATTTCAATATGTATACTTTGTTTCAACAAATACGATCAAACAAAATTATCAAACATTATATTTTCAATTGGCTCATAATAAATTTTCTTTTGTGTTTTATTTTAAGCTGAACCATCATACATTATTATTTTGTATTTTGTGTTTGAAAATAAATACTATAACTATAAAATAAAAATTAATCGACTAATAGGTTCCAAGAAGTTAACAAATCATTTCTTCAAATTTGAACATTCCTGATTTTTCTTTTTGATTTCTTCCTGTATTTTCTCGATTTCTCCCTGAAACAAAACAAAATATAACAGAATTATGCAATATCCAGAATGCAGAATAAAGAATTTTAAATCTAAAAAGGTTCCCAAAGCTTGGGAACCTGGCGCTGCTCAGGTTACTCATAGTTAATCCCACCGTTTACCCGCACTTGGTCAATTTTACCGGGAAACTAAATTTAAGTTATAATTGAAGACAATCCGAAGAAAGCTTCGCCGCAGAATTTCTTCTGGAATTTTGGTAGCTTAAAAGTCGAGCCACTAAACTTAAATTCTTAAAACCAGGCTTTGAACATTACCGTAGTTCTCACAAGTTCCCCGATCTAAATTTGAGGCAAGTCGGTCCAATTGTTTCCGGAGTTATGATCGGACAAACAAACAATCATACAGACAAACAGAGATTCAATTCACAGCTTGATATATATAAATTATAATTATTATCATTAAAAGCTCAGGACCCCCGCTTTGTTAAGTTAATTTGACTAAATTAACTGCAAGCTAAGATCATTATGTGATATCAAGATTTGAGGCAAATTGGTCAAGGGGTTCATGAGCTGTGATCGGACATACAAACAGAACAACAAGACATTACTCACCTAATATTTATATACTTTCTTTATCAGAGGTTTGGCGAGAAGATTAGAAAATTATCTCTAGTATTAGAATAGGTCCTAGTTTGGCGAGAATATTAGAAAATTTGATCTAGAATAGATTCTAGTTTGCTCTAGTATTAGAATAGATCCTAGTTTGCTCCAGTATTAGAATAGATCCTAGTTTGCTCCAGTATTAGAATAAGTCCTAGTTTGCTCCAGTATTAGAATAGATTCTAGTTTGCTCCAGTATTAGAATAAGTCCTAGTTTGCTCCAGTATTAGAATAAGCCCTAGTTTGGTCCAGTATTAGAATAAGCCCTAGTTTGCTCCAGTATTAGAATAAGCCCTGGTTTGGTTCAGTATTAGAATAGATTCTAGTTTTCTCCAGTATTAGAATAAGCCCTAGTTTGGTCACCTGAATTTTAGTTCTAAGCTCTGTTAAACCTCGTCCTATGCCTGCTTGCTTCTAAAATAAAAAAAATATTGAAAAATACTTAAAAAATCAACTTTTAAATAAAATAAAAATATTGAAAAATACTTCAAAAATTAACTTGAATAAAGTAACCCTCCGCTTTAAAAGATGTATTTCCGATAACATCATCAACATGAAGATTTCGTCGTTTTCTAACTTCAATCGTTAAATTCGGTCAATATGCTTAATTGCTTATTGAAAAGAAATCCGTTAGTCGCTGTAGCTGTAGAAATGAACCACTTTTGAAAGAACATAAATTTCAATCCGATGAAAAGATTTTGATTTTATTTTAATTAGATAAAAGGTTCTAACCGCGAGATCCTTCTCTATATGATCAATGTTCTTCTTATTCTCTAGAATTGGACTGTTGTCCAGGAAATCCAGGGTTTTCTTCACGTCCATGTAGTAGGATCTAGACAGTAGATAGATAGATAGTTAGATTTAGTAGGATCTAGATAGTAGATAGATAGATAGTTGGATGTAGTAGGATCTAGATAGTAGATAGATAGATAGTTAGATGTAGTAGGATCTAGATAGTAGATAGGTAGATAGATGTAGTAGGATCTAGATAGTAGATAGTAAGATGTAGTAGGATCAAGATAGTAGATAGATAGATAGTTAGATGTTGTAGGATATAGATAGAAGATAGATAGATAGTTAGATGTAGTAGGATCTAGATAGTAGATAGATAGATAGTAAGATGTAGTAGGATCTATAGTAGATGGATAGATAGTTAAATGTAGTAGGATCTAGATAGTAGATAGAAAGATAGATAGTTAGATGTATACGGATCTAGATAGTAGATAGAAAGATAGTTAAATGTAATAGGATCTAGATAGTAAATAGATAGATAGTTAGATGTAGTAGGATCTAGATAGTAGATAGAAAGATAGTCAAATGTAGTAGTGTTACGCGAGCCATGCTGCATGTATAAAGTCTGCTTATCGCCCCTGTGTATTTCTGAGTTCTCCCTGAAGATCTGTACGGAACGTATTGTGAAAGAACTAGTTTAGGAACTGTTTACAGACCCACTACGCAGGCGCAAGATTTCTCGCGGAGTAGTAAATAATTTATATCAGTATAGACCCACTACGCAGGCGCAAGATTTCTCGCGGAGTAGTAAATAATTTATATCAGTATATGTTTATTCGTCTTGCAAGTTTTAACCGTGTCCAGAATTCTGGGATCACTGTGGTAACTATTTTTATATATACTTATGATTATCGTGTTGATTATAGTATGATTGATATTTATATATGTGTTTGTTGGTTCCTAGCCACAGTTTTTTAATGCTTGAGTGAATTATTTGTTGTATTTGTATGATTTATCACTCAAAAGCTTTTTCTGTGGGTTTATTAAACTTATTTAGATTGAAGGCTCAGAGAAATAAACGTTCGGAACCTTACTATCATCCTTTTATTATGACGAGCGTTGAGAGAAGGGAGTCTTACGATCCGGTCCTGAGAAATACCACACGGTATATATATTTGGTCTTTAGGGAAATCGCTAAGTAGCGAAACAAGTAGGATCTAGATAGTAAATAGATAGATAGTTAGATGTAGCAGGATCTAGATAGTAGATCGATAGTTAGATGTAGTAGGATCTAGATAGCAGATAGATAGATAGTTAGATGTAGTAGGATCTAGATAGTAGATAGATAGATAGTTAGATGTAGTAGGATTTAGATAGTAGATAGATAGATAGTTAGATGTAGTAGGATCTAGATAGTAGATAGATAGATAGTTAGATGTAGTAGGATCTAGTAGATAGAAAGATAGTTAAGATATTTAAATATTTAGATATATGCAGAAAGATATATATCTAGATTTTAGATATATGTTCATTGTTCAAACATGTTTCTAATACTTTTTACCACGAAATTCCAAGGTTTAATTCCCCTTGCTTACCTATAAGAATAATTGCCGTTAGGAGGGTAAAACTTATATCCGTCCAAAGATACAACCATGCTCACACCTGTAGGTACATTCTAAATACAATTTACTAATTTTAAAATACACAAACAAGATGAAAAAATTCATTCCTAAATATCCCCTAATGAAAAATGATTATGCACCAATTTGATTTCCAAGTATGATTTCCATAATTTTGTCATTAAAAATTAACCCTCTCAATTTTTTTAAGCAATCTAAGAACATTCTCGTGGTTCTTCTGCGTTCCCCAATCAAAATTTGAGCAATCCGTTTAAAGGAAGGTTTCATGTGTTCAAACAGAAATACATATAAATAGACAAACAGGGATTGCTACTTTATTTGAGGCAAATCGGACAAAAAAACAGACAGACAGACAAAGAGAGATTACAACTTTATATATACAGATATTTGTATGGATGCATATATATATATATTTGTGCATATATATATATATTTGTGCATATATATATATATTTGTGCATATATATATATATATATACTAGCTTGGGAACCCAGGGTAGTCATATTAACTCCCGCCGTTTACCCGCACTCTGCTTAAATTACGATTTTAGCTATTTTTCTCTATAAAAGTCGACCCACTCACTTTAGAATCTCAAAACCAAGCTAAGAACATTCCCAAATCAAATTTTTAGTCAAATCGGTCCAGGCGATTCCATAGTTATGATCGGAGAAACAAAAAAACATACAAACAAAAAGAGATTACAACTTTATAGATATAGATACTAGCTTGGGAACCCAGCACTGCCAAGGTTAGTAAAAGTTACTCCCGCCATTTACAAGCACATTTTTGCTATTTAAGTCGACCCACTCAACTTAGAATCTCAAAACTTTCAAGTTCTCCAATAAAAAATTTGAGGCAAATCGTTCCAGGGGTTCCGAAGTTATGATTGGACAAAAAAACAAACAGAGATTACAACTTTCTATTATTATTATTAAAAGACAACCCGTCGTTCAGTGAAGTTGGGGCTGGCGCTCCTATATAAATAGATTATACAGCTAAGAATGATATTTACCTCTTTCCGTGTCGAGATGGATTTAGCCTGTTCCTGGGTTGGACAAGCAACAATACTTTCCAGGTTAAACTGAACAAAATCCATTGTGACAGTGCTTTGAAATTTGAGCTGGGTCGCTAAACTACCTGCCAACTGAAATCTTAATCACCGATTCAAAGTTTAAGATTCATGAGGATTTGAATGGGTGATTCAAGATTTAAACCGGCGGTAGGTAGTTCAGCGACCTCTCCAATTAATTGAATTCAGGCGATATATGATGACATTTTATAACATTTCTAAATTCTTCCTGTCGTTACAAATCGTTACACGGCATTTAATTTTGTTTCAGGGAATTTTACACCATATAAAGACATTTGTCAACACTTATTAGTCTAAATATTTATTCAATTTTTAGTAGAGCGATCTCTGCGACCTGGTGATTGGGGCAAGTACTAAACCCTGTCTGTAAAGGAAATGTTAGCATAGTTGTGACACTCTGTTCAGAGATGGTAATGCTCGATTCAAGAAGGTACCCTTGAAACCTTTATCTCATCAATAATGTGGAAGATAGTGTCACTTTTATATTCCTACGGGTTTGTTTCTGATAATTACTATATGTTTTCCAGCAATAGGAATGCGCAAGTAACTTTAGTAGAGAAACCCTGATTGAAAACAATCAGTTTTTGATTTCTTATTCATTCTTGCTCAGACAAAGCCTTGAAAGTATGATTACAGTCCCTTTAAGCTAAAATACCTGATCTACTAGGTGGTTGAATACTTCCGTCTTATCTATTACGAGACAATTGATAAGAGCTGGATACTTGGTGGCGGGGACACGGTACTTTTCTAGTGCATCATGTCTTGTAGGCAGAAACTTCGTGATATGCACCTAGATTGATTAATTGATTGATTGATATACACCAAGACTAATAATTGATTGTTATAAACCAAGACTCATGATTGATTGAAATAAACCAAGACTAATGATTGATTGATATAAACCAGGACTAATGATTGATTGATATACACCAAGACTAATGATTGATTGATATAAACCAAGACTCATGATTGATTAAAATAAACCAAGACTATTAATTGATTGATATAAACCAAGACTAATAATTGATTGATATAAACCAAGACTATTTAATGATTGATATAAACCAAGACTAATGATTGATTGATATACACCAAGACTATTTATTGATTGATATAAACCAAGACTAAATGATTGATTGATATAAACCAAGACTAATGATTGATTGATATAAACCAAG